AAACACGATCCATTTATCAACATGGAAAGGCTGTTTTTTTTTCAGATATGTTGTTACCCATTTTATTGCCACAGTGATACAGGCTGGCAGAAAGTTAGTGCTTCTTATTACTCATATATACCACCATATTTTCTATGTTTGAGCAGTTGAAGCTGGGGCTGTATGTTCATGCTACTACATACTCTATAAATGTAGGGACATCCAAGGAGATTATAGGCTCTGGACACAATTCAAGATCTTGTTTGAAGACCTCAAGGGGCTTTTGGTGCAGAAAGTTACTTTCATAATAAAGGTCTTGTTTTGTCAGTACTCAGACTGTGATGATCCCCAAGTTCTTTGCACAGACCAAGGGTAGACTGTTCTCAAATAAGGTGAAAATAAAGCAACTATATGCAGAAGTACCACTAGCATGGTTAGAATTTTGGACATAAAAGCCATTATGTGAACCTGACACTTTTTCAGAGATTAGAAGGAAGATTCTATATATATAGCGTGTGTATACACACACACACACACACACACACACACACACATCTATCTATGATAGTTATGTACGATACTCATTTACTTCTCTTCCCTGCATCCATTTTTACAGAAACCATAGCACAGAGGGAAAACGCACACATACACACACACATACATTTGATTTATCGATTTTCTGTATTGCCCTTGCTAAGTCACATACTCTGTGCTACAGTTTCTGTAAACTGGAGACAGTGTTTCCAAAGCAGAAGGAGAAAGCAGAGAAAAATGTCTGGAGAGGCAGGGAAGAGAAGTAAATGAAGGGTTGAGGAGAAGGAAGAGATAGGCAGAAGGGAGATAGGTCCAGAGACAGCAGGTCAGATTACAAGACTGTCTTGGCTTCATGCTCTAAGGCAGGGGTTTTCAACCTTTTTTGGTTGGTGTATCCCCAGTGGCCTATCGATGAGTCGGGGTGGGGGACAGAAAACCAGAAATGCCGGCAGCATTTCCCAAGGGGCCTTCCCAAGTACCTCCAGGGGTACACGTACCCCTGGTTGACAACCCCTGCTCTAAGGGCTAGAGAATTTAGGGGACTTGAACTAAGTCCCTCAGAGAAGGTTATACCTAGTGTATTTCTGTCCCGCACGTAGACTGAAGGAAGAGTTAGATGCCACCCTCCCTTGTGCTGCATGACTTGTGAAGGCATCTTTCAAAAACCGTAATGGAGCATGTAGGAAAGAAGAAGGGGAATAGATGTCAAGGAGAGTGTAACGTACGTACCAGGCAGTGTGTACAAACAAGGCTGTCCATTGAATGGCTTTACTCAAGATTGTTTCATAAATCCTAATATTGTTACAGTTCTTTATATAAATTCAGGTGGTAGACGCCTATATTTTGGCACAAGAAAATCTGTGTGTGTTCTTCATGGACAGACAAGGTTTTTTGGGTGAATCTGGTATCTTTTATTAGACCAACTTAAATAGTTGGAAAACAATTATTAAGCAAGCTTTTGGGTTCAAAAACCCTTCGTCAGGCTAAGGAAGTTTCAGCAGTTCGTGTGTGCTCTTCCTGGATGGAATGAAAAGTAAAAAAGCCAGCGGCTGGGTTGGTATGCATACAAGACAGGTAGTCAGTGAAAATGTAGATTGAGGAGTCAATAGGTGAGATACAGGCTGGGGAAGAGGGGAGAAGAGAGAGAAGGGGGATGAAAGTGGAGAGATACCTGGGGAGTCAGATGTGAGGCAGGTTATAATGTGTCATAAATCCGATGTCTATATTTAGTCCATGATTTTTAGTATCCAGGAGGTTAATGAAGTGGAGTTCATAGGCTCGTCTCTGGGAAGTGTTGTGTAAGTTTCCGTTGAGGATCAGGACTGAGAGATTGGAGAGAGAGTGGCCCTCCTGTGAGAAATGTGCCCCCACAGGTCATTGGGTATTTCTGTCTGATAGATTTCCAGTGTGCGTTCATTCTGGTGCGCAGTTGTTGTTTGGTCTCTCCTACGTATTTTCCATCAGGGCATTTGGTGCATTGGATGAGGTATATTACATTTCTGGAGGTGCAGCTGTAAGATCCAGGAATGCTGATGGCTCTGTTGTGGGGTGTAGTAATAGTGGGGGTGGTGGAGATGTGGGGGCAGGTTTTGCATTTCTTGTCCTGGCACGGTCTGGATCCTTTTGGTGTGTTCTGGGCTTGAGGAAGTTGCTTCTGGTGATGAGGTTAGTGATGTTCGGTGCTTGTTTGAAGGCTAGGATGGGTGGCTCTGGGAAGATCTTTTTAAGAATAGGGTCTCTTTCTAGCATGGGTTGCAATAGTTTGAGGATTTTCCATATGGGTTCGAGGAAGGGGTGATATGTCATAAGCAGCAGTGTGCAATTTGTGGGGTTTTTTCTTCTGTACTACAGCAGTTCTTCACGTGGTATCCGGGTGGCTCTTTTAAACATAAACATGCAATCTCTCTCGCTGGAGGAGTGTCCTTGTTGGGTGAAAGTCTTTTTAAGATTGGTGAGGTGGCAATCCCGGGTGTTCTCTTCAGTGCAAATTTGGTGGTATCTCAGGGCTTGGTTGTATGTCACAGCTTTTTTGGTGTGTTTAGGGTGATTGCTGGTTCTGTGCAGATATGTATGTTGGTCTGTGGGTTTCTTGTATAACGTGGTCTGTATTCTGTCATTCTGGATACTGATCATCGTGTCTAAAAAGGAGATGTTGGTGCTGGAGTATTCTAGAGAAAGTTGGATGGAGGGATGGTGATTGTTGAATTTCTGATGGAACTCAATCAGAGATTGTAGGTTTTCAGTCCAAATGATCATCCAGTTCTTCATGGATGATTTTAAATAATTCTCTCTCCTGCAATAGTCTTTTCTCCTCCACTCCCCATCAGACACTTTCTTGCTTGGTCACTTATGCATCATACCCAAAAAGTTATTGAATCCAGGACTTCTAATTTTACAGAAGCTTGAGGGGGGAAATTATTTTTGAGATTTGTGGTTATCATTCAATATTAAGTTGGATTGACAGTGCAAAGTAACCTAGAAATTTTACTTTGTTTTCCTTCCTTCCTACCCCAGTTGGAATGGGTGGTTGAAAATCTGTGGCATTAATTTGATCGTGTCTTTCAGGCTGCGAACAGATGTAAATTTCAACCTCTTTAAAAGGGAAGTGGGGGTTGCTGTTCTGGACCACGAATCAGCTGTTGCACTGCAGTTGTAATGTCTGCCTGCTCCTGGAGAGATACAAGTGAGCTAAATCACTGTAACCTTAATCCCGACTGAAACAGGATTAAAGTTACAATGGTTTTGTTATACTTGCACCAGTTTAGAGTCTGCAGATATCATAGTTGCATCATACAATGTGTACTCTCCCCTTTTAAAGAGCTCAAAAGTTAGGTCTATCCAGAGCCAAAGACAGTAATGACTTGTCATTCCAACTGCTTTGAATATGGAGTGAAAGGCTTAAACACCGAGCTTGCTCTACAGTTATAAAGGCTATGAACTGTTCTTTTCTTCTCAAACCCTATTGTTAGATATCACAATGTTAGGGTCACACTGTAATGAATTTTGGTTCTGCCATGTCATACCATGCTCAGAAAATCTTGATTATTTTCTATTCCTTTGTACAAACCTGACTACTTTGAGAATTCAGGATTTTTTTCCCCATGAGACTCCATAATACAATAACTTCTTTCCAAACCAACTTCTGGTTACAGACACAGAGATACTGTTGCTAGTTTTCACTGGCATCATTGGCTGTTTATCCATCATGTTACTCCTTCAAATACAGGATATTATTATTTAATGGAAAATTGGCTAAGGGAATTGTGACCAGAATTTTCAACCTGAGTGCCCAAAAAGTTAGGTACCTGAATGAGTTACCTGATTTGCAGAGATGCTAAATGTACACACAGCCCTTTTTAATTTTAGTTTTCATCTACAGATGAACATCAAAGTGAGCTGATGTTTCACATCTTGTCTGAAAACAAAAGCAACTATCCTGGTGCTTATATATAAATTTAGGTACCAAGCTGTAGAAACTTCCAATATACCTTCACATTTTTATTGTAACTCCACAACTTCAGTATCACTCAGAACAACTGAAATAAGTGCACTGAACTCAACAGAAACAGAAAATCCTGAAAGGGAAGTTATCTTAATAACTACACTTACTAATATAGAAAGAAGAGGAAGTCACAGTAGGATGACGCAACAAAGCATGTTGAAGCGAATGGTAATGAAGGTATAGCAGACTGAGGCAAAGTATGCCATTCTAAATGTTGTAACACATTAAAACACTTCTAGTACACCTCATTTCATAAACTTGTACCAGCTACTTTGCCTTCATTCTGAGCACTGTTTGGGTTAGATTAGTTTTCAATGGGTTTAAGCCAAACTAGTGCCAAGATAAACAGTATTAAAGTATTGCAGGCCTTCCACTTCTGCTTGGCAGTGTCTCATTCACCTTTCCAAATCAACCTTTGCCTGTGATAGCTGTGCCAGACTTGGAAGACAGGTATGCCAAGCATACTGCAAATTCAGTAGATCATAGAGAAGTAAGGCTGAAAGGGACTTCAAGAGATCATCCAGTCCAGCTGGATTTAAAGAGTAATGTTAGCGTAGACAAGAGAAGAGTGGAAGGGTTGTTACACTTCAGTACAGCTGGTCTGGATGACAGCATTGGACTGTTACCGTACAGTAATAGTTTCATAGCTGGTAGGGTCGGAAAGGACCTGAGGAGATCATCTAGTCCGCCCCCCTGCCATGGCAGGAAAGAGTACTGGGGTCAAACGACCCCGGCCAGATGTTCATCCAGCCTCCTTTTAAAGAGCCCCAGGGTAGGAACCAGCACCACTTCTTTTGGAAGTTGGTTCCAGGTCCTAACCGCCCTGACAGTGAAATAGCGCTTCCTAATGTCTAGCCTGAAACTACCCTCCGCTAGCTTGTGTCCGTTGTTTCTTGTCACTCCTGGTAGTGCTCGGGGGAACAGGGACTCTCCCAATGCCTGCTGGTCCCCCTTGACTAGTTTGTAGACTGCCACTAGATCCCCTCTCAGTCTTCTCTTTTGGAGGCTGAACAGGTTCAGGTCCCTCAGCCTCTCCTCGTAGGGCCTACCCTGTTGCCCCCTACCCTCCTCTGGACCCTCTCCGTATTGGTAATAAGCAGTTCAATGTTCCTGTGCAAATAGAGTACTAGTATTACAGCCTATGAAATGTCTACAAGCCTGAGGTTACATCTGACCATGAGTCGGTAAGTATTGAATCACTGCGGTCTGTGGCTGCAGCTTCCATTAAGTTGTACACATTTAGTCAGTAGATGGAGGCTGCAACCAAAGGAGCAAAAGTTAAATCCTATTGCTATGAATGTGTATTAAATATCTGCACAGAACTCGAAACAACACATATCTATTAATGGCATCCAAGGCTAAGATGAGTGCTAAAGGGCCTGGGCTGAAAAGGAGCTGTTGATTGAACCGAAAGCCTTCTCTATATCAGCTGTACCACTATCAGACAGAATGTGAGCTGGCAAGAAAGCTGGGGTATGTACATGGACGGCTTTTGCTACATAACTGGATACCTTACTTGTAGACATAGCAGTGCACAAGAGAGGTGGAAATTTGGGACCCTGCATCTTTCCTACCTATTGTTCCCTCCCTCCTCACTCTCCACCAAAGGAAAACACTGATCTGCATGGACCATCAGAAGTGAAATTGCTCCATGAGGAAATTCAGTGCCTTTTCCAGGAAAAGGGGGAGGGGGGGGGGGGGGGGGGAAGTTTAAGCATGAAGCAAAGAATTACTTTAAAAATAATTTAAATGAGATTGCAAATCACAAAACTTTCAGGAATAATAATTAGTTGGGAGGAAAGATTTGAATCAAAGGCAAATATGAGAAGAAAGGCTGTGGATATCAGGAAGACGTTATGAAAACATATGAGGTCAAAGGAAGGAAATTAAAAGTAAAGGAAATTAATCCCAACAAAACAGTGACGTTGACATTGTAACTGGTTTTTAAATAGGACCTGGAAGATTAAAAAAGGTTACCCTAATGGTAAGAATAAGTCAGAACATCAGACAAAAGGATGGTTGGTAAGATTGAGAACTGCATGTGTGTGTTGGAAAGAATAAATACATATAAATGCCAAAAAGCCCCGCTGAAGCGCCTGATCTATACAGACACTGGGGAGCCAGGTCAAACTAATGCGATGCCTCTTCCAGTAAAGTGTTGGGTTTTTTGGATTTTTTTCATGTCTGTCAGTGCCCAGGATGATTAATTTGTGTAAGGTGGACATCATCTAAGCTAATGCATCCAGTGCTTGTTTTCTTGAAATGGCTAGTACTGTATCACCTGCACAAAGTGAAGCGGTCTCACCGCAGAAGTCAGTGCACCAGCCATACTATTACCTCTGGGTAATTCCAAACTGGGCCATAGAGTCAGTGCAGGTAATGATTTTTTACTAGTTAACTTGAAACCTACTTATAAAATAGGAATAAACTGGTAAGGGATTCCCAGTGCTTTGTTATCCGTTTTATCAGCCTAAAGGAAAGACCTTCATACATTTGGACATGTGGGTAAGAAAACCTGTGTGCATATTGCTGCAGCCTCCCTAAGATGTGCCAAACTCCTGGGAATCTCCATAATGGATTCCTTTTGGAAATTTCCAGCAATCTACCACTACCACCTGCACTTTGATCAGGAATGTACCATAGACCTAGGGAAAACCATTACTGCTCATAGTGAACAGATTATATGGATATAGGACTTCAGTTTATAGTGCTATCAGCTTCAGACTAGGGGGTGTCATAAACTGGATCCAGACCACAAGTATCTTTACTGAATGGATTCAGACCCACATCCAGTGGCAGAGCAAGCAGCATTGGGGTGAGTGGTATCACAGCCACCAGGGAAGGGAGCCACATGCAACCATTGCTTACCCTGTTACTTCCAAAATGCAGCAGAGGTGCTCCATGCCCCAAAATTTGGCAGCAGTGCCTCCCTCACTTGCTCTGCCCCCACCAAATTCCCAGCCCCTCTAGGAGCCCTATGAGCAGAATGACATGGTAGTGCAGGTCAGATCTGGTCAGTGGGCCATAGTGGGCCACCCCAGCTATAGACAATGCTAAATATATGTGGAAAAATATTTTTAAAGTGTAAAATTAAAAAACACATGAAAAGGTGAAGGATAGCTAATCATATAATCACATAGCTAATGTATATAGCTAATCACAGCCCAGTTAGCCTGCCCTTGGTCTCTGGAAAGATCATAGAGCAGGTCCTTAAAGAATCCATTTCAAACCACCTGGAGGAGAATCTGTTAGTGCAGGATGAACCTAGGCTGCATGGGTCATCAAGAACAAGTCACGTCTGACCAATTATTCTTTCTGTGATAAGGTAACAGGTTCTGCAGATGTCAGGGGAAGAGCAGTGGATGTGATATACTTTCACTATAGCAAGGCTTTTGATATGGTCTTCCATGACATTCCCATTGATAAACTAAGCAAATATAGACTATAGGCCAATACTGTAAGATCAACACGTAACTGGTTAGATCATTGTGCTCACTAAATAGTCATCAACAGCTCAGTATCTAGTTTGGAGGAGTTATTAAGTGGGGCTCGCCAGGGGCCTGTCCTGGGACTGTTATTTAACACGGTCATTAATGATTTGGACAAATTTGCAGATGATACCAAGTTGGGTGGCATGGAAGACACACTGGAAGGTAGGGCTAGGATCCAGAATGACCTGGCTAAATGATAGAATTGGTTCAAAAATCAATCAGATGGGATTCAGCAAGGACAAGCAAAAAGTTCTGCACTTGGGACAGAATAATTGTGTACACACGTACAGACTGGGAAAAACTGGCTGGGCTGCAGTTCTGCAGAGGACCTGTGGGTTACAGTGGACCATAAACTGAATGTGCACCAACAGTGTTTTCTTCTGTTGCAAAAAACGCCCAATTCCCCCTCCCTCCCAACCCCCCTGCCCCAAACGAAAACCAAAAAAACCTCCAACCCAATTGCATGCTGGGTTGTATTAACAGGAGTATCACTTGGAAAACAAGGGAAGTGAGTCTTCTGCTTTGTTCAGCGTGAGTGCAGCCTCACTGTGTCTAGTTTGGGGCCCTACCCTTCAAGAAGATGTGAACAGATTGGAAAGTCTAGCAGAGGCTGACAAAAATTATTACTGGTCTGGGAAGCATGATTTATGAGGAAAGGCTGAAAGAACTAGGGTTATTTAGTCTGGAGAAGAGAAGACTAAGGGTGCATGTGTTGACAGTCTTGACGTACCTGAAGGGACTTTTCTCTGCAGTTGTGAGACTAGGAGCAATAACCTCAAGCTTCAGTAGAGGAAATTGAGGTTGGAGATTAGGAGGAACCTCCTGACTACGAGGGTGATCAGGCATTGGAACAGGCTACCTAGACCAGCTACAGACTCCATCTCTGGAAATTTTCAGGAAAGGTAAGAGAGATGTGGCTGGGACTGATCCTGCCTTGAGCAGAGGTTGGACTAGGTAACTTCAAGAGATCCCTTCCAGCTCTACTTTCCTATGATCCTAGCAAAATTCAACAAATGAAAAATTCAGTAGTATAACAAGACATTTGTCAGTAGAACTGTCTTGGCATTATTAGAAATAAAATAGGAAAATCTTGACTGCTCATGTGAATAAGTTAAATAAGATCAGTACGTTATGCAACGAAAATGGGATAGGAAAGAAGAAAAAAAACAAATGAAAATTCATATTCTCCTTGCTGTCATCAAACCATGCCCTCCCTCCCAGTCTGTGGAAAAGTTGGTGGCTTCTTTATGTTAAGAAATTCCTTTTTAAAAGGAAAAAAGTTGTACAATCGGGTTGCACAATCCTTCCCTTGTGTTTCTGTGAGATTACAGAAAATTTTGGTAATTTACAAGCATTTCTCCAGCCAGCTCAGATAACCACATTTGTTACATGTTAAAAGTCCATTGTAGATTTCTCTGTTAATTTAAAGGATGGTATGAAAAATACATCGTTTTTCTATTCCTGTGCTGTAATCTTACCAAAAATAGAGCAGTTTCCAGTTCTCTCTGAATTAGGGGCTTACGTAATGAAAGCTATATGCAGTCTGCAGAACATTCAAATGACTTGATTTGAAGTTATATGATAAAAGAATAGATTTAAATGTACTAATATTTTGCTTCCCATTTTTCAGACAACTGAAACATGAATTCTCCAGTGCTGTGATTCTTAGCACTGATGACTTTTTCATCGAAGATGGCATCTACCAGTTTGATCACAGATTGCTAGAGGAAGCACATACATGGAACCAAAAGAGAGGTGAATCAAAACAGTTCCTAGTTTTCTTAGAGCATTAATGGACTTCCTCAGTCTATCTAAATACCTGCACAGTCCTCAAAAACCAGTGTCTCAACACAGTATACTGCACTATTTTGATTCTCTAGGAAGAGAGAAAGTGTAACCATGTCTTTCATTGAAGTTTACAGCTTGTCAGTCTTCAAAAAAAAAATCAAAAAAAAAAAAAAAAAAATCACAGAACCGAGAGCCGTTGATTATTCTTTATGGCATGTGAAAAATAAATTATTGCTAACTGAACAAATACTGATAAATTCATGGTTCATTTTGTTTTTTAAAACTTTTAAAACAGTAAATATTTATGGAAGTGCAGAAGCTGGATCCGAGCAAGAGGCATGCAAATGGCAGCACAGTGACAGCTTGATAGAGACATGTTCGTCCTTCTTCAGATTATAACAGGTTAAACATAAACCATTGCTTTAAGCTTGAATGTCCATTTGTGACTTCTGCAGTATATGTGTCTGTTGTCAGGAAGTATACATATTAATTACGAAGTCATTCCTGAAGTTCAGGAGCAGAACAAATGATGACTGTATTTTAGGGAGATGACTGTGATACAGCCTCGTGAGGCAATTAAAACTTGTGAACTTATGTAATGGAATATTATTATATACCAAATTATATTTGCTAACACTCACGTATCCTTTGTGAATATCTTAATTTCCACTGCCATTGCTCACATAAGTTGAGGAGTCTTCAAAATACACATCAACCTTTACACATTCTCTTTGCTTAAGTTTACAATCGAGCAGGTACGTTGGCAGCTGAACATCCTCCAGGAATTTTAAAAGCACTTTTTGGTTACTATCAATTATTTGCTTTGAGATGGGCATGCAGAAACCCTTTACCAGTGGGTTCACAGTTTGTGCAAGGGTCTCTTGAAATAGAAAACTCCTTCAGGCCTGAAACAATCAGTTGTCTGGTACTTTTGAGCTTCACTTAATATGTTATATTGCAGCACGCAAAGCAATGGAGAATGGGAGATCCCCGGTTATTATTGATAATACCAACATCCGTGCTTGGGAAATGAAGCCATATGTGATCATGGTAGGGAAAACTATGACCTAACTCTTGTTGTAAATGCTTAGCTATGACATCTAAGATGTGATCTGATTGGGAAAAAATATTAAAAGATAAAAGCAATTTTGGTCTTCAGATAATTCAGACAAGTTAATTCTTTGCTAAAGTAGATAAAGAGGCACTTATGTACTTGTTTTAGCTAAGTATTTAGTTCAGTGAGAAGAAAGTCACTGGAAAAGATTCAACTTGCCCCATATTCACCAGAGATCAGCCTATAGTGTCCCACTTCCCCCAGAGGAGTCTGCTTCCATAACGTTAATTGACAAGCATATTAACACCCGAGTTTGGCCTTAGCTCATTTTTTGCTGTATATGTCCAGAGTACATATTAAAGCAATCTAGAGACTGTGTTTTGATCAGTCTCTAATGGTTCTAGGATGGATGGACTCTGTGATGGCTTTACTGGCACTCTTCCTATTATGGTTTCACAATGTGTCCCATTACAGTCATGCTCATACGTAGCTATATTACCATGGGTTATCATATGGTCAAAGTTTATCATTTGGGATCTATTTTCTGTTTCCACACAAGGTATAGGAGGTCATAGTGGTTCTCTGTGCCTGAAATGCTGCTATGAACCTTGTGCTTGTGAACAGTTTCTCTAAAGAAACTTCCCAATCAAGGTTGTGGCCACTCTAGGATGACTACGTAGTGAAAGGATCGTAGGCTAGAGGCTGCTAAACTGTGAACAGGTGGCTTCTCATACTGTTCTGGCTGTTCCTCCTCCTCTTCACCAAGATCACTTTAGAAATACTGTGAGTACTTCAGGTGCCACTTTTCCATTCAAGCAATTACCAAAGGCTATATTTGTGTATAATTGTGAATGGAAGGGAAGAACATTTGAGGTTTTGTACATGGAAAGGATCTTGTCTATTCTTGGCGAATAGTTGAGAATTGAGATATGAGAATCCCTGGTCCAGGTGATGAGGCACACAGTGAATGTTAGTTGGTGGCAGAAGCCTTCTATAAGAACTAGATGGTAACACTTTTAACATATGTGCACTTTTCCAAATCAGGCACTTGAGAATGGCTATGAAGTTACATTCCGAGAACCAGAAACACAATGGAGATTCGATGTTCAGAAGCTGGCAAGGTATACCTTTTCCCTCTTAATGAATCTGGTTATTTCTTATTTAGTACCGTGTTTCAGCCGTGAAAAAACAGGATTGTAAAATGCACTTTCCTCTTCAGATAGTCTAAGAAACAGTCCAATAATGAACTATTCAAGAATAGTGGAGGGATAATTTAATATATTCAACATCAGAGGATACTAGCTGCCCTGAACAGTCTCAGGAAAGAGAAATCAATTTACACTGTAAGCTTCTATTTGGGCTGCAAGTTATGGGCGGGGGGAGGAGGAAGAAGAGGAGGGGCATTTGTGTAATGTTTCCTTCAATGGGCTTATGGTTCATGACTAATGCTATGATCTAGACATTGCAGTAATACAAATAATAAAATAATATCTACAGGTTCCAACGTGAAATTTAACTACAACATGGCTTCATATAATTCGGGAAGGCAGGTAGTAGGAGAGCAGCTGTTTTAAAAATCAGCAAGAAATCAGTTCCTAAAGGATTATTCGTATTGGATCTCAAATAACACATACAAGAGTGTTGTACCCTTCCCTTCTTTCAGCAGTGCTCCCTTCTTTCCTTCCCCTTTCCGTCATTTGTATTTAAATTACCTTAGTCCTTTTTCTTTAGTATCACTGCATTCTGCAAGTCCATTCATACCATCTGATGAGGTAGACTATGAGCCTACCAAAGCTCATGTCTCTTTGAACCAGTTAATCTACCAGGTGCCACACTGCCCTGCCTACATACGGGATGGATACATTAGCCCACAAAGCATTTATGTTCTACCTTGTTTGATCTCATAAGCACAATATTGTTTACTTTACATGATTTTTAGATGATGATGATTTATTTACATGACTGTAATAGCTCCGAACCTTTGTCAAGGAGCCATGTGGTTTCCCATTGTGCTAAGTGCTGTACACACAAATACTGAGGAGGACCGTCCTTGCCCCAGAGAGCTTGTAGTTCAAGCATCAGACAGGACTTGACATGGAGAAAAGAGAAAGATGCTTTGGGGATGGGGAAGAATATGGTAGTAAAACAGAGTTTATCAGCAATATATAAGTCTTGGCTCACCACTTGTCTTACCAGTGCCAAATAGTAGTGATTTGCAGGCATGACAGTAGAAGTGGGTCTAGTTGGGAGGAGGTATCAAGTATTAATGCCTTGTAATATTTCTTAACTGTCTTATGGTTGGTATTTGTTTTATCAATTAGTGAAGGATCTGGAGATCTAATAGGCTGTCAAGATTACTAAATCCAGATTCTGTCTTTAAGATTGGCCTTTCAGGCATGCTCCTAGGGCAGAGACTCCAAAGCCAGAGACCCATGGCTTTTTCTTAGCATGAGAGAGACACATCCCAACTGCCCTACCATGTCAAAACTAATGCGGACCACCTGAGTCTGCTGTACATTGGGACATGCCTTCTCCAGAACTTTGCTCAGGTGGTACCATGGTTTACTGTCTCACTTCTTGAGGACTTTGTAACCTTTAAAGCAAAGAACACACAGACTTTACCAACTCACAAAATACAAGAGATACACTGCTCTACGGCAAAGCACCAAACCCCTGTGAACCAAGACCCTGCCTCAGTTTCTGCACCCTGCTTGAGAATCCATTGGAGTCTATGCATCACCCCTGGAGCCCAGAAACCTTCTGCACCCTTTTTTCTTCTTGTCTAAACTTCTCCTCTTCTGTTCCAAACTCAAGTCACTATAGAGAAATATCCCTTCTAACACTTGTCTCACTTACTTATCCTTCACCTGAGGTCCTTTCAATCTTCAGTGCTGTGTGTTTGTTACAGCAAACCAGTTAAGTCATTAACCTATGAGTAGGAGTCTCCATTGTCCTGCTGGGGCCCTGGATCTGATCTAGACGGTGTATGGCTCTTTAGACATGGGCAAAAAACAAACAAACAAACAACCCCCCTCTCCCCCACAAACACACAGACCTTGACACCTGCATGGGTTGGTCACATACTTGTGGGCTCTCTGCAACTACTGTCTGTCCTTCTGCAGATGGATAGACAATCGTTCCTGAGGGTTCATTAGCTTCTTGTATCCGTGTAACAGAAACCATGATGGCAATCAGCACACACGCTTCCCGTGCTCCTCACAGCAGAAGCTGTGGACCTTGTTATAGACAATTCACCTAACTTTATATCCTGGCTGCCTACAAAAATATTTGGGTTATATGTCGTAGTGAAGCAGCCAAAAAATAGCTTTGAGAAAATAGATAGCAGCCAACTGCAAGGCAGTCAAGTGTTGGATCCTGGCTCTCAGAGACAAGAATGGATGCTTTACTAAATGGAGCAAGAGGGTTAGCAACATCAAGCCAATGCACTTAAAGGGCTAAAAAACTGAATTTTTATATTAATTTTGATTCTATAGAAGAAACACTCATCAGGTCCCAAGAGAAAAAATACAGCGAATGAAAGAACAGTATGAGCATGGTGTTACCGTCGAAACTGTGCTTCAGTCTGAACAACCCAGGAGAGATGTTGGAAATTCTAGTGGACCAAATGCAGCTCTCAGCACTGGGGCTTACTCCAATTCACATCCAGCATTTTCAAACAGAAGAGCATATGACACACATACAAGTCAAAGATCATATAACAGGAGAGGTGGATTCCACAATGTATTTTAGTATTTCACCAATGTATGAAAGACCATTTTGCAGTTTTCTAAGCCATTTTTATTGAGTTTTTTGGGCTTTTTAGTTTACTAAATCTTTAAATCAGGTATCAATGCTTTTAAATTTACATACTGTAATGCAAGAGCATTCAGTTATGGACTCTAAGACTACTGAGCCCACCGTAAACTCTTCCCATTCCCGCTAAACCCATGTTCATTAATTTCTCTCGTTTTGTCATGTCATAGCTGTAGACTGTGAATTCTCCAGGGCAGAGCTGGTGTCTGTACCCTGCCATATTACTTGTATTGCAACTTGCCTCCCAGACCCACTCTCCTTTTTCCCTCGTGTCCAGTCTCTCACTAAACCAGCCTCTTCTTTGTCTCCAATACTTTCCAGTTCCAACCTTTCTTCAAAGTTCTTGGGACCAAACCCTTGTTCAGGCTGTGGTCATTTCTAGTCTCCTCACTTTCTTATGCCTGGTCTCCTGGCTTCACCATTCTTCTCTTTCCAGCTTTCCCAAACCTTAGCTAACAATGTACAGTGCTCTTTGAATCCCTCTATTGGTTTCCTGTCTTACTGCTGTAAAAAGGCTCAACATAACCATCTGCCCATCCATGTCTTTTGTTACCTTGATTCAGGCTTTTCTTACTCTTCATTTTACTTTCCACTGTGGCTCCTTCATACACCCAGACAATATCTGTCTTTATCTGCCAAGTGCTACCTCTCCTCCTTCAGATCCCATTAAGTCTCTCCTCCCTTTTCTCATTAATAGTCACCACCTCACTCCTTTTCCTGAACTGATAATCTGTATATCTTGTCTTATACTATAAAGTTTTAAGAATAGGGGCGTCTTTGTTTTAAAATGTAGTATACATTGTATGTGATAGCACTAATTTTTTATTAATAGTAGAAATAGAAAAAATGTACACAGTGGAGACCATCACAAGCCATGAGAACTTGAGTGATGCATTAAAGACAATTGAATGAGGCACTTTGTCTTTCAACCTAAATGCTGACGGGGCAGAGCTTTATTGTGTGCAATGTATACACTTGGTGTGAAACATCTGTTGGGTATACATTTACCCATGTGTCTTTGGATACAGAGAGACTGGTGTGGCTAACAACATCCGATCTTTTTGTCTGTTGTCCCAGGCAAGAACAGGCCAGAATGTTTCTTAATCAGACTGCTCCATCTTGCTGAACCATAACTCACCCACATTGCGTGTCAAATGAACATTAAGCTTGGTCGAACTTTCCATATCATGCGCACTCCTATGAAACTGTGCTTGCAGAACAAGGCACAAAGTGAAAATAAAAACATCATGATGGAAAGACTGGTTACAGCCCATGCCAAATCTCGAAGATGCTAGATGAGAGGTTTTGGGGGCCGCTACCGATCTGATTTCTAGTATATTGTGGAGAGTGGTAAGTCCGTTGCGGTGAAAGGGGAGGGGGAAGAGAAGGGGGGGCAAATCAACTCCTCCTCCCCCACAGTGAGGGAGGGGGCAGGGGCGCAGGCATGGTTCATCGGAGGTGTGGCGGGGGGTGGATTCTGCTGCTGGCTTACACCCCAGGAGGGCAAGGGGGCACGTGCCCCTGGATCTGTCCGGAGTGAGATGGACTGCAGCTGCAGGCTGTGCTGGGCTCTTCTTGCCAGAGGCTGTGCTCGGAAGAGGGACTGCAGCTACCCCAAATCTTGCCATAGCTACCTCCCAGTGCTGCTGCCACACATTCAACGCAGCCCTAGCTCAACCCGCACCTCCCCCCACGTGGGGCGCAGGATGGAGGTGCAGCTCCCTACCAGCGCTGCCACTTCCACATGCCTGGCGCAGTCCTGACTCTTCCCCCGCCTCCCTCCACACACCGGAAAGAGCCAGGGCTGCGCCAGGCGTGCAGAGGCAGCTGCCCCCACACCCCGATGAGCCATGCCTCTGTCCCATGCCCCACATGGGGGGAGGCAGGGGTTGAGTCGGGAAGAGCCAGGGCAGTGCCAAGTGCACGGTGGTGTGGGGAGGGAGTTGCCCCCCCTCCCCCTTGAGCCACATCTCTGTCCCACGCCCTGTGGGGGGGTTGAGCCAGGAAGAGCCGGGGCTGTGCTAAACACACCGCGGTGGCAGCACTGGAAGGGAGCTACAGCAAAATCTGGGGTGGCTTCAGCCCCCTCTATAGTACCGCTCCAAGCTCAGCCCTTAGTGAGAAAAGCCTGTCACAGCCTGCAGCTGCAGCTCACCCCGGGCAGATCCAGAGGCACATACCCCTCTGTGGCGCAAGCAGCAGCAGGAACCCCTCCCTCCCCACAATGAACCACACCTGCACCCTGCCCTGGCTAGGCAGTGCCTGCCTCTTCAACCCCTCCCCCTGCTGCGAGGGAGGGGGATCTGCCCACCATGCCCCTTCCCCCACACCAGACTTACCAGCTGGAGGCAGCTCTCCATGCTGCTGGGCTCTGCTCCTCAGTGGCTGCACACATGCATGGCATTTATTGGCCAAATTATCTGCCCCATCAGACCGATTTCTGATACAGCCAGTTTTCATTATATTGGTACTGATCTGATATCGGACCAATCTACAGTGCACCTGTAATGGAAAGGTATGTTTCCATACTGTACAAATGGCGTAGTCATTCTCTCTGACGTACATGGACTTTAAATAAGAGGATAAGGCCACTTCATTGAGATCCTTTACAGTCGTTGTCACATTGTCCTATCAACGTAACAAAATCATTGCCTCCTTCCAACAACTTAACACAACCAAAGCATAGAAAAATAAGGAATATAAACTACACTGGGATTAACACCTCAGATTTCACCTCTTCTGCCCTGACCGGTTTAAGAGAATCCCTGGGATTCTGGATTCAGCCTCTAAACACCCTACACACATTTCTAACTACTCTCCTGATAGTCCAACAGAGTGAACAAGTGTTCTATGCTAAATAATCCCTTAAGCTCCAGATAAGGGCTCACTACTGACATGTCAGAACTGCAACAACACAGGCACTACTGTAAAGCACAAGCAAATAAATGATCTGTAGAGATAATAGATTGCAGTGATTCTTACCAAAATCTTGAAAGTTTTATTGCACTATAAAATTACATTTATTAAACTTTTCCTTTTGAAATAACATTATTAAAGACAAGCGGATACTATATAAATGTTTCTAGCGTGCAAAGTGTAAAAATATTAATTTAAATCCAAAATATATACATTATTATGTACTTACATTCAATAGTATTTGCGTTTTTTACGCCTTTGTAGTTTTTTTGGGACTGTGAATGAACTCTCAGTTTTACTTGTCTCCTTCTCAAGAGCCCCAGTTCCTTCAGTACTATTTTGTGAAGTATTTGTTCCTGCAGCAGACATTGGAGAATTACCATGTACAAGGTGGTCTGATGAATCCCTGGACGCAGCACTGATAGTTTTTTCTGTGTAATCAGTTTTCTTTTCTTTGGGCAAATTACACAAGAGTGCTTGTGTATTAATCATTGCAAGTTCTTCATCAGCAATCAAGTCAGTCTCAGTGAGAGGGGTAATTTCATTCGATCTTTTAAGAGCTGTGATGTGAACAGTGTCGTGGTTTGTTCCCTTCGATGATTTGCTACACTGGAAATCAGAACTTCGTGGTGGCTGAAATGCCTTTTTCAAAGATGGAGAAACAATTGAATAGACTGGTGTCAATGGGGGAGGGGGAGGGATCTGGCTGAGCAGGTCCATCGCTTTTCTCTTTTTGCAGTTCTTGGGGTAGTCTTCATTAGGAGTATGTGGAGTCATCTTTGCTAAGCCTTGTGGAGCAAGTTTCATATCTGGTTTGCTGACCGACAGTGGGCTTTGATACTTCATTTCACTATTTGGAAAGGATGTCTGGTTAAGGAAAGAAAAAAAAAAATATGATTTTTGTGCATGGACAAGGCCAGAACCCTTCCCATTCATCACAATTAATGCACCAGACTGGCATTCCACGGGGAATGAAATAACTAAGAAGTAAACTCGCTAACCAAAAAAAAAAAAAAAAAAAAATCAAAAAAATCAAACACCATATTAACTTAATTACCTCAATTTGTTACACCAACAACCTAAAACTGAACCAATAATATTGTGCACCACATGTCTGAGTGAAAGTGACTATCCATCCCAAACTGAAGTTACTACAAAAATCAAAATGCTGTGAATTAGATGCATATTAAGACAGAACATTTGGATCCAGCATACTGTAAATATACAGTAGAAGAAAATAGTAAGAGTATGCAAAGTATGTATGAAAAAGGCAGCAAGGACGGAGTTCTGTATAATCTAATGCAGTGGCTCCCAATCTTTTTGGACTGTAACCTTAATTCAGGGATTATAACTTGAATGCTTATTAGCTTGTGGTCACGTCATATACAACATCCAGTCTGAGCCCAGCTAGGGTCATGCTCTGGGACCTGCAACCCTGTTTTCCAAGACAGAGTTCTTGGTTCCTAGTTCAGGAAACATTGCTCTATTATACTGTATTTACTTGAATGCAGGATGAGGCTGTCCCCCCCAATTTAACATGGGGGGGGACCCCTCATCTTAGATTTGAGTACAAGTAGAGGAGTAGGCAGGCGGCTGTTGTGGCTCTGACTGTAGCCCTGATGCCAACCTTGGGCTGGAGTCAGAGCTGCAGCAGCCACCTGGCTCTCCTGCCTCTCTCTCTGCCACCACTTACCATCCTCAGCACCAGCCCTGCTGTGGCCTGGAGTATAGAACACATTTGGCTCCAGGCCTGGCCTGGCCACACAGTAGTGGTTGTGGTGGCAGCAGGTTTGCCCCTAGAGCTGGGCCAGAGCTGCCACCACTGCTGTGTGGGAGGTGGGGGCAGGCAGAGGGTAGGAAGCAGGCATGGTGGGGGGCAAGAGGGGATGAATTTAAGATGACCCCCTAATAGCTGGATTTTATACATGGAATACTATAAACAAATTTATAAATTTTTCATATATAGAACCTAATTATTAAGGAGTTGTCTTATACTCAAAGTTATCTTGGATTAGGGTAAATATGGTACCCTCAATAATAAGCAGTTAGCAAAACAATAAGGTATGGGGGAGACAAGCAGCAAGAGAAGAAGAAAAGGTAATAAGAGTGTTTTTGAAAATGGAAAGAGATATAATAATCATCAGCAAAATGAATATAAGGGTCTGAACACACCTTAATGAAGGCGCGGGCAATTATTTGGGGCAGAGGGCTGCTTACCCAGTTTTGGCAGGCTGTGGAGGGCCCCATGGGTAGCCCCGCCCCTTGACAGGTGCCCTGCCTCCTGGTCACCATTTTGGGACCAGTCCCAATGTCTTGGTCCCATGTCCCGCACTAGTGGGGCCCAAAGCAGGGCGCAGGCTGGCAGGGGTCTGTGGAGCTGGGCTGGGCTGCACCAGCAGGGAGAGGGGAGAGCTGGCCCGGCTCCATAGAGCCCCTGCCGGCTGGGACCCGGCGCTCCTGCCACCCTGCTCTGGGCCCCACCGGCGCTGGCCCTGGGGCACTGACGCTGGCCCCGTGTTCCTGCTGGCTCCTGCGCCCACTCACACCCAGTGCCCCCAGCCCCATGGTACAGGCGGGGTGCAGCACAGAGCCCTGATCCCCTGCTCGCTGGCAGGGAAGAAGCTGGTGCTGAGTGCAGGAAAAAGCGGCCCCTTGCCTGCCCCATGGCCAGCACTCCCTGCTGCAGGCGCTTGCAGCCCACACGGGTTTGTCTGGAGCAGGCACAGGCAGCCCCATGCGGACTGCAAGCAGCTACAGCACGGGGCGTTGGCCATGGGGCGAGCAAGGGGCTGCTTTTCCCCATGCTCAGCATCAGCTTGTAACCCGGCCCCACTGCCAGCCTGGGCTCTGTGCCAGCTCCGGGCTCGCCCTTCAGTAAGAGAATGGTTTCAAGCTAAACTTAAGCAGATGAAAGCCTTTTACTCCATGGGTACAAGTAGATCTTGATAAAGAGTTTCCATTTTTAGGAAATGTTTCTTAGAAGAACTTCTATTCTTCACATCTTAATCACACCCTTGTAAACCACATGAAAAAACTGCACTGCTTTCCCCCTAACGTGCAGCATTTTTGTCTGTTTTGGTGTTTTATCTTCAGTAATGAAGAACTCTCCTTTCATGCTGAAATCTAGAAAACTTAGCTGAATGCAATTCATGTGGTTTCTCACTCAAAGCCCCAGCTTTACAATTTTCTTATTTTCTTGAGCACTGGGAAGGGAAACTGAAAGGGTGGTTTTAATACTTTTCCAGACCCTTTAAGAATTAGGCTGCGGGACATCTCTTTCACTAGTCTCTAGGTTAACGGTTCTCAATGTTTTTGGAGTCAAGGTAGTCCCTAACAGGACTCCACTGGACTCCTTCAAAAATTTTGTGAATCGAGGGGCAGTGTTCGCATTCTTGCAGAAGGGCCTTCATTCCTTCATCTCCTCTGCATGTGGCATGGAGAGGTGGGGGTACAGTGAACCATCAGAGAAACTAAACTGCTTAGACAAAGGGTCTTTAAACAAGTGCTCAAAACATGCATGCAGCACAGTGAGGATGGACAACTCAGCTGAAGGAGGATGGCTATATGCTGTAACAGTAGGCACATTATTAAAATAACACTTTAACAATTATAAATTGCTTATATCTGTGCTATCATATTGCTTCAGTTTAAAACTCATACAATTTCAAACTTACATGGTTTTTATTTCCCACACAAAGGCTTGACTTCTGGGAAGGAGAAAGGAGGCTTAAGCCACATTCTTTATTCAAGTTATTCACTTGTGGACCATTTGTTTGAAGCAAATTCATTAGTTTGCATTTTGCATCACTGCAAAAGGAGTTTACATTCTAGAAGACAGAACAAACAAAAACACAAGATGGCTGCATGTTTTAAAATGTAAAACGCAACATCTTAGCATTTACTATTGAAAACAGAAATGCTAAGCAGACCCCTTCTGGTATTCCTTGCTTAAGTCCTGGCTAGCAAATGATTGCAATATTATTAATTACATTTTAAAGTGTTGATATAGTATTTTTTAAAGAAATGAAATATTGGTAAGAGGCAGTAAATGTACTAAGATGCAAAAAACTGATGAGCCCATTTAGTCTCTGTAAATGGGAAAGGCTGTTTTTAAAAATTTGTTTTCCTCATGCACCAAATCAGTTAAAATGGTGACACCCAACTCAAATGAGTTGGCAGGCCAGATACAGGCTTCTCACAGGTTGGATGACTGACCTCTGGGTCTGACCTGCAGGGCTTCTCATCACAGCTTACAGATGTTGCAAACATCGCAGCAACTGAAGGTGTGCTGCCAATTTGTATGCTGGATGGGGACTGGAAACCACAAGTTAGGCAGCTGGTAAGGGGCAGGGCAGTTTGGGTGCTGCAGATTACAAAGCCATGGTAAGAAGTCCCCTGGGTCAGGGTCCTGAAGGGAATTATCCTGCCAGAGAGAAACCCCATGAGATAGATAACCCACCTCTGTAGGCCAGATCCAGCCTGCTAGTGGTATATTTGATAACCCTGATCTAAAACAAAGCATACACATGCATGTTTAATATCAGGTAACATTCAAATTTGCTGGAATCCTGTGAGAGACTGCAGTAATGTCAATTATTTCAGGTAGCATAAATTAATTCATTCTCTTTTCTGTAGTTACTAACCACACAAAACAACTGGGTAGGAGAGTAACACCACCAATTTCTGCTACTTTTAAGTGCAACAGGTTTTTATGTACATTTGTGCAATATTGAAAGAAAAATATAAAAACAAAGACAACATGTGCTGTGTTTTCTTATTTCTCTTTACTTAAGCCAGTTGAAAAAACTAAAGTAAAAAAAAACACACTGCAATATCAAATTGTTATAGATAATAAATGGGCTCAAATATACCAACAAGTACTGTGCCTCTCATATCTCAAAACATTCAAGGCAATTAAAATGTCAAAGACAGGTTCCACATGAAAAGGTATTAGATTCTGCTTGGCCAGATGATGGCAGCTATAAAATGGGGACTTTGGGGATACTACTGTAAAGCTGAGGAAAATGGGAAGACTGCACAAGCAACAGGTTCCTTCAAAAAGGAAAAAAACAAACCAGTCCGCTTCCTGAAATCTCTTCATTCAAACTTCATACTATCAGCATTAAGTTGTTGTTTGTCCCAGCACTAGCAGTATTAACTGATTCTGTACCAAAAATAACTACATACTAACAACTAAAAACAACTATTGCATTAGAAGATCCATTACTTCACCTCTATTGTGTTTTTTAACTCGTTAAATCTTTCTTGAAGACAGCCTTCCTTTGGATTTGTTGAAAATAGAGAAAGGTCTCCAGCAAATAGTGTGGGAATTTCTAAACTGAAATTAGCAGACTGCCACTGAATATTGCTTGCAGAAATCAATGTACAAGGTTTAATGATGTCTTCAACTGCAAGTTGCTTAAGGTCCATCCATATCTTGATTGCCACTAGATTGAGATTTTCATCTGATAAATACACCAGAGTTGTGAAACCTAAAAAAAAAAAAAAAGGTTAAATTAAATTGAAAAGAAGGATGCAATTTAGGTAGATGTATTCCCACAGATCTATTTTACTTTTGATTTTCCCCACTGTTCCCTTCAAAGGAAGGACACCTTTAAAACAGGAAAACAAGTATGTAACAACAACAACTACACAAATAAGAGTTGCCATGCTGGATCAGACCAACGGTTCCTCTAGCCCAATATCCTGACTCTGACAGTGGCAGTAGTAGGTATTTTAGAGGGAGAGCATATGAACAGGGCATATCTAAAATGATCCATCTTCTGCCATGCCCTCCCTGGCATCTACATCATTTGTTTAGGGATGTCAGAGGACATATATGTGACAGTTATCTTAAAAGTGTTTAAGGTATCCATGAATTTGTCTAGTCCCTTTCTGAAACTGGCTGAGTTCTGCCTTTACAACCTCCTGTGGCACAGAGTTCTGCTGCATAAAAAAAGCACCTTCTCTGGTTAGCTTTAAATGTTTCTCCTATTAATTTCAGTGGGTACCTCCAACTCCTGGTATTCTGGGATTTGGTGAATAACAGTTCCCTATTCACTTTGTCCACACCCTTCATGACTTTATAGATTTCTACAATAATACTCCTGCTCAAGTGTTCTTTCCAAACTGCAGTCTTAGCCTTTATTAGTCTGTTCTTGCACAGCAGCTGCTCCATACCCCGATCATCTTTGTTGCCTTTCTCTGTACCTTTTCTAGTTTTACTAGATCCTTTTCAAGATGCAGAGACTAGAACCGCACACAGTATTCAAGATGCTAGTGTATCATGGATTTATATGGTGTCACAATGATATTTTACACTTCTATTTTCAATTCCCTTCTTAATGCTGCCCAACTTTTTATTGGCTTTTTTTGGGTGACTGCTACATGATATGATGTTTTTAGAAAACTATCTACAATGACTCCAGGGTCTCTACTCTGAGTCACAGCAGCTAGTTCAGTAAAACCCAGTAGAGCCCAGTAAAAATAAAACTCATTTCTTTATTTTGGCTTTTCGTTGTGTTCCCCCTCCAAAATACTTAACTCAAACATTTATCTTAGAAGGCAGGACATCAAGAAACTGTTATTGTTATTTCTGAAGTGTTACACTCTCACATACTAAGGTAGTGGGGCAATATTACCAGCTGGGTCTAACATGCACATTTATATAGACTTGTCTGCAGATATAAAACCAAAATCACCTTGGAAGTTTAAAAGAAAATGTATTTTCATTAGACAAGAAAATACTCAGACTCAGCATGTAACACACCTGTGCTCTTATTAACAGAAACTATAAATCCAACTAAGTCAACTTCACCACATGCTGGTTGAAAAGAAAGATCCAACAACTTGCTGAACAGCACAGCATTCCTGGGAATGTAAATCTCTAACAGCATCTCTTGAGAAGCCTAAAGAAACAAAAGATTAATTATTTAAATAATTAAAGGTTACATATACTGTTTATATTTTTAATCAAATGATGCTTTTACAGTAAGAAGTTTTTACCGATAACTGAAGGAACTGAGTTTTCTTTGTAGCTGTTAACTGTACATTAGCAGTGTCCAATTTGCTTTTGGACTCTGATGTTGCTAGCTGGTAGATTCTGTACCGATTTCCTTCTTTTAACAGGGAAAATACATCTGATAATGGGCGCCAGATATTCAGCATGACCACTAAAAACATAAGATTAGAAAATACTAAGTCTGCTATAGCCATATGGATGACCTCAAAGGGTGCCTGTACACACCACAGGGCTTAATCCTTATTAAATTAAATAGATTTATAAAATTTAAAAACTTGTTCATTTTTGGAGTGTTGCATCAGTGTTTGTACACAATAGGTTTTCAAATTAATTATGCCCGGTCCCTGACCCACAACAGTCCACCGCTGCCCTCCCCTGGCCTGGGGCCTCCCATCCCATGCCCTACCACACAGCTGTGGGAGCACAGAGCTGGCAAATGGCACAATAATTAAAAAAAAAAAAAAAGGAGAAGCAATTCCAAAGTGGAAGCAATTTGAAGTGGTGAACTACAAAAAAGTTGCAGCGCCATCTCGTGAACAAAGAGGCTCATTACATGTTTTTGAGTGCTTTTGTGTGTGTATGAAACAAATCGATGGACACAACGCTTTAATTTGCGGTGAGCCAAACTAAACTACGTCCAAGGAGTTTTACTTTAATGCGCCAGTAAGACTTTTAAAGTGTCCAGAAAACCCACTTGTGCAAACAGTCACGCTGTTGCAGTGCAAGAAAGGGCAAAAAATGTGGCATGTACAAAGGCCCCAAAATCTGCATCCTAAAATATCCTCCTTGTTATAACTCAGTGGTTCTCAACCTTTCTAGACTCAAAGCATGCCTCAAAAATGCCAGTTGTCAGCTTTCATTCATTTTTTGACTACAGAAAAACAACAGAGAAATTCTTCTGTTGCAGGGGGAGTATGAAGTCATCCCAATCTTGTTTAGCTCCCATTTAAAGTGGGAGGTATCCTATTTAGTAAGGCCTTGCTCAATTCAGCCACTTCAGTATAGAGGAATTTACAACAAAAGGCTTTTATTTTTAAATGAAATAGATTTTAATCATGGCATGATCAATGTCAGATTTGTTATCTGTATTTAATGCTGCTAAGCACACTAAACCAGTGATTCTCAACCTTTTAAAGCTTCAAGAACCCTTCAATAGGCTTCAGGTACCCCCCCCCCCCCAAAAGTTGCTAGGCTCCTAGTTTACTTGGGTTTTTTTTAATCATAAAAAATAGCATTTTTTCTATTACAAAGCACTCAGAATGACAACAGGTCAGACCGTTTCTGACACCTGATTTCTATTTGAAAACTCTGGGTTTATCTTGTAAATAAGGTTTAGGTGCTTGAAAAGAAGGATCCGAGAACTTAGTACTAATACTGCAGTACCCTTAAAAGAATCTCACAGTACCTTGGCTGAGATTCATTGGTATAACTCCATTTAACTTTTACCCATTACGTTATTACACTGGCCTCTTATTCAAGTGAACTCTAGTTTTACATTAGTACTAACCTTTAACTTTTTCTTGTTTTCTGTAATCTACCACACGTAATTTCCACACTGTAGACACCTCCCTTACAGAGTAACCATGTTCCTGTTGTTCAATAGACTCTAGAGCCTTCTTGAATTCTGCTTGTATCTGAGCTTGCTTCTTATCATTCAACATTCGTCTGTGAGTATTCAAGGCTCTTAACTGCTCTTCACTGAGATATCCCTGTGTTCACAAGAAGAAAAACCATTCAACTGCCTGTATGATCACCAAAAATACCCATCAAATTCTGACAAAACCTCTTCTCCAAATACTCATGTATAAAAGATCATTTTTGTATTTTGTTACGGTACCAGAACTTCAGAAGCATATATTATAGCAAAAAGGCCCTCCTGAGGCACCACCTGAATATAGGTACATGTAAGAGAGGTTGGCATCATATGAGAGGTGGATATGGCTCATGGAGCTACCGGATCTAGCAGCAGAGCCAGAGGGCGTGCTGGGCTGGTCAGTGAGGAGCTGTAGTGGGGCTGGGGAGCTGAAAGTCGTGCCTGCATTGTTGCTGTTTCTCCCCACCCCATGGCTGCAGTGCAGGCACAACTTCCAGCCCATGGGGAACTGAGCTAGGCCTGGTCAGCTTCCCACGCCTGGCTCAGGAGCTGCAGCCAAGAGGTGAGGGGGGGAAAGGGGGGGAAACTGCATAAACAGCATTGATACAGCTTCCTACTACCAGGCCCCAGCTTAGGGAAGCTGCACGTGTGCCCCAGACAGGGGGGGAGCTGAGGGCTGGGAGAAGCACAGCTACAGGCAACCCTTCCCCTCCTACTCGGCTTACAAAGGTTGCTGGCCCTGTTATAAATCATCGTAGATATGCATGACACTATTAGAACAAACATATACAAAGCTATAGATCCAATGAACTTATTATAAAGAATCTGATCTGGCAGGTACTTAGGTATGCACTTAGTTTTGTAGCACATGTAACTAGGCTAATGCACATGTATTTAGTTAATCAAGTTGCTAAGTGTTTATTTTCTTGAGGTTTTAATATGAACAACATGAAGAAGGGAAACAAAAGCATAGGGAATAATCATTTCACTCATCACCTCTACATAAAGTATTTGGTAAGTTTTAATTCTCAATTAATGTGTTCTTATTACAAAATTATACATATTCATAAAAATTATTTTGTAAGTCATACCTTTCCAGGTTTTTTAATTTCAGCATTCACAACTGTCCATGCACCTCTAGAGTACATTTTTCTGTACATTTTAATCCACTAGTAAAATAGTTATTCTGTCCAATACATCTTATACGTATGCATTTTTAATACTCACATTGTAACAGACCACTACTAATTAACAAAACATGCAACAGTGATTTTGAATCCTTTATGCAACCTTGTCTCGTTTTTAATTTGAACTTTTGGTAACGAGCATACTGAAGAAGGTGTCTCATATGAAGAGAGAGAATTCTAATTTAAAGGTCACAACATTTTTGGATCTGGCAGCTGTTACTATTTATTTTTTAATTAAGGCAAAAATACAGTGGGCATTCCATAGACACTTGAGAGTAGTAATCTAAATCAATAATTACCTCCATATAACCAGGATCAGGTGAATTCTGAATTGCTTCATAAAGCTCTGCACCATCTTGCAAAGTCTGAATCTGTTGCTTGGTAAGTGCACATGACCTCAAAACCCTTTTTCTAGTTTTACCTGTTTTTTTTAAAAAAAAGCACAAGTGAAAAAGTTATATCCAGCTGCCACAATTAAAAAAACAAAACAAAATAAAAAAAAAACTGTATGATGCTTCCGATGGCTGAATTGTTTCCAAACAAAAATACCAAGCCAAGTCTCTCTATATGGATTTACTTTAGAGGTGCACCAATACATTGGTCCCATATTGGATTGGCAACAATATAAGGAAAATTGACAGTATTGGCAATCAGCTTTTTTTGGCTGATGTGGGCAATAAGGTCATTCATAAATGTCCCATGCATGCACAACAGCTGCAGCACATCACACAGGCAGCCACAAGAGCAGCCAGGTCTGGCTGGTAAGTCTGTTGTAAAGGAAGGGACATGGGTGGATGGGGGAGCAGATTAAGGCCCCAGGCGTGAGGGAGGGAGAGAGGCTGGAACTGGGACAGGAGCAGGTGTTGCACAGCCGGGGTGGGGCAGACAGAGCTGCAAGCAGCTTGTCTGGAGAGTGTGGGGTGGTGGCTCCTGCCACTGCATGCATTCCGGGAGATCATGGGGGGCAGATGCCTCGTGGATCTACCAGTGGGGGCAAGGGTGGGCTGGGGCCCGGCTCTTCCCAACAGGGTGTTGGGTTGGGGCTGCTTTTGGGACAGGCAGCAGCAGCACTGGGAGCAGACCTATGGTGAATTTTGGGGTGGCTGCAGCCCCGCCCCCCATAAACCTCCTCCCAGTGCCAATGCTGCCCACCAGGGATGCTATGTTGGAGAAAAACAACTCCAAAATCTTCTAGCAATGTCAGGTCTGCTAGTGCTCTAGAAGCAAAAAGAACTGGGTGTTAAAGCACTGGTGAAAGAGGCAGTACCACATCTGTGCAGAATAGTTTCTGGATGTGGCTCAAAATTAGTGCCAAAATCTGTGGTGGTGCAATAATTTTAAGTGGTACATGGGCAGTGCCAAGTCCCTGCAAGAGAAGGGACTCTCATCCCAAGTGCCATTTCTATGACAACCCTTCAAGATTGGCTACTATTAGGTTCAGAGCAAAAGCCTTTCAAGGCTGCATAGAGAAAAACCGCACAAAGAAGTTTTTCACTGTCAGGTCTCTCATATTTTTATGATCAGCCACTTGAAACTTCAACATGTTCTATTCACTTCTCATAAGTTTGGCTTTTCAGCATTTACCAAAGAATTCTGTGTACGTACAGTCCTTATCTTCACAGGCATCCTTATTAATCAAATATATGACACTGTGAAAGAAATTTTACCTTCATTCTCTTCATATTCTGCTTGGATTTTTGCAAATAAAGCTTCTAGATGTTTTTGTTGATTCTCTGCATGCTTTGCAGCTTCTCTTTCTTCAGCTCGATTGTTACGGAACACATATGATCCAGTTGTTTTTTTTTCCATCCACTGGAATAAAAAAGTGTTCATATCAAATTAACCATTTCTAAATTTTAAAAGAATTATCATATTATGCCTCAAAATAGTACTAATTCACTCTCAGAAACAATTCCTTAATTGGAAAAAGATCAGCATTTTTTTCCAACTATAATGAATAAAAGGACAAGTTTCGAAAGTGTTCCTTAATTTCTCCCTCTGCTGCAGGCTTGTCCAACATGCAGCCCTCCAACCTGTTTTCTGAGGCCTGAGGTACTGCAACAGGAAACAAAAGTAAGCACTGTACTTTGGTTTGTGCGGGGGGGAAATGTGATATCGCTTCCTGTGAGGCCTGTGAATATGGCTTGCCGGCCCACTGGGTGATAAAAAGTTCATGATCCGGCCCCACATTCAAAAAGGTTGGACACCCCTGCTCTACTGCTATATTTTCAGTTTAGTTAGGCTAAGTTTTTAATTCCACCATAGAAATGTTTTCTTCTTGATCACTTTAATGATTACTAAACATGATTTTATAGGAGTGTGGGTTTATGTCCAAATTTGAGCTCTGGTTTTGGACCTGTCTGAGTTAGCTGTTGAAGGAAGAATAGTTTTCTTCTGTAGAGATCAATTATCAGGGGTGTCTGACATATGGTCCATGGAAACTTCACACGAAATTCCATGGAGGGGAGCTGGAGGCAGGGCCCACCACCAAACTCTGGGGTATGGAGCCCTATTAGGGATGCATATCAGCAGCAGGGGATGAATGGCTACAGTAACCCCCACAGCTCCCTGATGCTACCACATCCAAATGTGACTCCTAAGGAGCCCCACAGTCTGGATGTGGCCTGGGGGTGAAGGAGAGGGGAAGTGGGGGATGGAAAAAGGGCAGCAGGGTGAGTTTCAAACACTGAGTCATATGATTTTGAAATATGTGGAACCCATGTTTCTAGTTTTGGATAAGGACACTGTGACAGCCTGCAGAATGCCAGACCTTCGTTCTGTGTAACACTCCTCATTCCTTTCTTGACTCATATGTCCATACTAATGACCACCATCTCCTATTTTATTATTCTAACCCTGCTTTAATGCTTTATGTTCGTGCGATATTGTATTAGCTTATATTTGTGCAATTTTATCAAGTATTTAACCACATAATTCTGTTGGAGTTCCCATATGGCATTCAGGAATAAATGCAAGTCTTTTTTTTTTTTCTTAATCTTTTAGTTATCTTACTCTTTAATATGAAAAGAGTAAAGTTGCCAAAGGAAATGGTTAAGAGCAACATAAATGGCCTCTGGAACTGTTGCCATTGAGAAGTAGTGGTGGCAGCAAACTGGAGAAGGGGGCATGGCCAGCACAGGCTATGCTGCAACACTGCAGCCAAGATGAGAACAGTTCACATACTGTAGAATTATGGAAGATGTTGGACTGCAGAAAAACGATCACAAATCTTTAAAAACTGCACCTGAATTTACTCCATTATTTTACAGAACAATAAAGGCTTGTCTACATCTATCCCAACCAAGGTGCTCCAGGATAAAAAAACATCACCCACAAAAAAAAGTTATCTTATTAAATCTTTTAGCCCTCTCATACATTCTGTTTGAGGACTGGACCAAACTGAACAGTAAGAAATAATCGGGCATCTTCACAAACTGTTGTTACTGTACCTGAAGAGGGTAAGCTCTTTGAATAACTATATCAATGCATCCAACAGTACCTCCATCACTGAAAAGTGATGACAGAGACAAAGGAAAAGGTCTGGGATCTCGATGAAATCCTAATTTTGCGTACCATCGAGCACGTCGAGTACCGTTAGCTGAAATCTGAATAAATTAAATGTTTTTAAGTAAAAATGTTACATACAAGACAGAAGGATTATTATTATTTTTAATTTAAAGGGGAGACCATATTTGGATTCTCCACCTGAAAAGCTTTTATTCTCTAACTGAACATACTCAAATTTATTCTTGTTGTGAATTACATTTCAATTGAAATAGCCTAACAAATTTTTAAAGACAAGCAAGTATTAATGAGACATAAAACTTTATCACTTTATACCAGAAGGGAAACCTCTTCAAAATTAAAATAACTTTCACAACAGTCTCAGACACCAGAAACAAACGTCATGCCCCAAATCTTCCTTCCTACTTAAAATCCCCTCAGAACTTTTATTGATTCTCTTTCAATGCCCTATATTCTTGAGCAATTTATTAAACACTGAATTTAAAAAAAGATTGAAAGAACTAAAACTAACATAGTGTGTTCAACAAAGAAGCAATGCGATTTTACCTTGGATTTACTCTGCAATATTACAATGTCAGCTATCTTGTGCCATGTCAAGTTCTACTCAATCTGGACTTCAAGTTTCTTGGAACAGTGAAGGTATCTTATCTCCACAAGTATGACTATATATATGTAAACACATCCCCACCCCTCAAATTGAACAAATACTTCATTTTACCTTTAACATGAGGGTATCTGGTGCTTCCAGAGGTGTGCATGCATTTTGAGAACCCACAAGTTCTGCTCCATGTACTATGATCTTCTGACCAATAGTCAGCCTTCTTCTTTGTAAGAGCACTTTGAGAGGAAGATCTAAGACCGCTCTAATGCTATACCAGCTATCTGTAACTTCAATTATCGCTGCATCTTTGTTGTTTTCGAACCTGGTTTTAGTAGCAGGGTTCTCAGATGTATTTGGGCTTAATGATATTACTTTAGAAATACAAAGTACAAGTGTCCTAGCAGCAGTATCATCTCTCTCCATTATCTTTTTTATAGCAGATCGCTTACTTTTATCAACTTCTAAATCATACCTACAAAACAAAACAAAAACCTCAGACACACAAATACAGTCTACAAAGATATTTTTCCAGCCCTACTGAGAAATAATTAACAAACTTATCTGCCCAGTCTTCATTTAGGTTGGAAGCAGAACTTTATGCTTGCAAATAATTTTGATATTTCAAGTCTCAAAAAGATGATGTTCAATATCCTAAGCATTCTAATGGATTAATATACATACAATTAAGGTGTGACGAACTCACAAAACTTAAACCAGTAAGTGCATACAATCAGAAACTAAACCTTAAATGCACTGCTGTAAAATACTCACCTGTATTTTAATTGCAACAGCACCCTTTCTGGTGTCAAGCACCTGCTAGCAAATTCCTGTGGAAAAGAGACTTCCATGGCTGCCAATTTCCATACAATCCACCTATAATGGTTGTAGACCCAGGCATCAGTAATTAACTTTGGATCCACACCAGGTGTATCACAGAGTGCCCTGCGTACAAATTGTTATAATATTAAACTGAAATCCATTTTCATGAATTCTTTATCTGTTGTATTAATTCTTTAGAAATGCTTATAACGGAATACTTTTATTAGAAAATAAATAAATACATGTATACGTTTATTAGAAAATAATTACAGGCTTCCCTCAATTTATGCGGGTTCTTTATATGCGAATTCACTCTTATGCAATGAGCATATTTAGACCGGTAATTCATTATATGCGAGATAAATTTACTCTTATGCCATCAGCATGGATGCCCACCCTCACCTAAGCAGGTAAGTCTGTTGGGGAGGGAAAAGGGCTGTGGCCCCACTCACCCCAGCCGCGGCTGCAGAGGCCCTGGAAGCGGCCAGCACCAGCTGCTTGCTCCTGTTCCTCCCACACCTGGGCTCACCCCAGCTCCTGGGCTGCACCATGCCATGGTGCAGAAGCTGGTGTCAGCTGCTCCTGGGGCCGCTCCAGCACACGCTGGGGTGAGTGCAGACAAGCGGAGCTTCAGGCAGCGTGGGGCACAGCACTCACCCCAGCCCCAGCTGCAGCAGTCCCAGGAGCAGCCAAGACCAGCTGTCTGCACCAGGGCATGGCGCAGCCCAGAAGCAGAGGCGAGTGGGGACAGGCAGAGCACACTCCAGCTCAGTGGCTGCAGGCAGCTGGTGCTGGCCGCTCCTCGGGCTACTGCAGCCGAGGCTTGGGCGAGTGCCCCTCTGTTCCCTTTGCTTTGCTGCTTTGTGCAGCCCTGGGAGCAGCACCCCCCACACACTCTTCCTTTCCTAGTCCCAGCCTCACTCCCTCCCTCACTGCCACAGGAACCTATCCCTAATCTGCTACATTGTAAAGTGGGTTCAGTTTATGCACCCTTCTCCGGGAACCCATGTACAGCATAAATCAAGGGAAACCTGAATTAGTAAAACATTTTAACATATTTTAGATATTAGAAACAGGCACTGAAATAAGAAATAGTATGAACTGAAATATTAAAAAAAGGAGAGTCAAAACTGTTAGCTTCACATATATTTTTCTGTGTTGCAGCTAACTGGCAGACATCACTGGTAGCAAGGCAAAATATCTATCTACAGAAGCACACCATGGAGTTTGAAGCACAGGACTGGAAGGGGCCTCCCAAGCCATTAAGTCCTATTCCTGCACTGGTAGAAAACCATTTGCACAGACAGCCCACAAGGTTCTCTACTCTGACAACAGCCACAAAGTACCATATGAAAAAAGCCGTACAATGTGCCAAATGTGAAAAGCACAAGAGAAAAGGGAATGCTGCCAATGCCTCACAAACACCAATGGCAGGGAATGTGTTATGCGTGTATATTCTCAGATTATTCCAGGAGGATGACTGTAACCCCACACTACAAAAAGAAGTCAGAACTGTCCATAGTTCTTACCAACCTGATTTGGGAGAAAAAATACTTCCTGACCTAACACCTAATAATCAGTTGGACTCTAAGAACATGGGCAAGACCCTCCATTCAAGCACCCAAAATGCTTCACTTGGCCTGCAAAAAGGGCATGGCAAAAATTAGGGCAGGGTTGTGCTTGTGTTATTTTTTTTGTTTCTTATTACATATTCAAAAAAGGTCCTGATAGTATTTTCTTTCTCCACCCAAAGGGGAAAAAAGTTGGATTTTTTTCTATACCGTTTCATATTTTTAGAAATGTCAACATGCATTGTTCTTTTTTGTTGGAGAGTTTCTTGAATTACCCTGAGGTATTAATCACAGCCTTTATATCCTTAATCTTTACAGCAGGAGTATTACAAAATCTTCTAGAACCTCCTTATACTTTCCAAAAAGAAGTCACAAAGTTTATGGGACAATCCTGACCAACTGAGCCAATTCAAGTTTTACCACAGATTTATATGGAGCTAATATTTCACTCTACAAATGTAAAACATGTTTACTCAGGAAAGTACGAGCAACATTGAAACTGAAAAAATTGGCATCTCTCACCCAACTGTATCCTGCCAAAAAACCCCAAACCCACACACAAAAACTTTTCCTTATGAAAGTCATTAGATGTGTTAATGTTATGTTGAATAAAATAACAAAGGTTCTAACCAAATCTGTAAACAGCAGCACATTTTGAATTATGTACATTGAGAAAAGTAGACTAAAACGTACATTGCCACAAAGCATTGCAAGAAAGCTGCGCCGGTCTAATAAAAAAAAAACCTATAGTGAATTTTGTTTTTTTAATCACAGGATAAAAGAATGTGCATGCTAATAAAATGGTAATTTTTTCCATTTAAGATGGTATTAAAAAGTACCTATAAAACTCATTTTTTCCTGCCCTTCCCTCTTCAGTAGGTATAAGCCAACCTCCATCACCAAGTTGTACTCCATGTCCAGCCAGAAAATATTCTTCACTGAAAAAATCCTGAATGAGAAACTCAAAAGACTCTGCATTGATGCTGTTAACTTGAATGCAGCTCTTTGAAACCCCATACATGTACAGCTGCAAAAAATAAGGCAAGAGACAAATAATAAGTAGCATTATCCAAAGTACAAGAATTACAACAAATAAAATCCCATGAGTTCAGTAAACCATCACAGAAATCATAGAAAAATAGAGCTGGAAGAGACACTGAGGGGTCAACTTACTGTATCCCCCTGTCGAAACAGAATCAGCTTATACCTAACACCTTCCCCAACTATGTTTATTTCTCATCGAACAGTAAAATCTTACTACCTACAATCAAAGGAAAAAGATTTCAGAGACAATAATTAAGTTGAAGCTATACAAATTTATATTCAATATAAGGGATACATTTTTAACAGTAAGACTAATTAACCATTGTTACAATCTATAAGGGATGTAATGGAGTTTCCAACCCTGGACATTATTAAATAAAGAAGTGGATGTTTTTCTGGAGGATATGCTTGAAAGGAAACAAACTAATTCAGGGAAGCCCTATGACTTGTGTTGTGCAGGAGATCGAATTAATCATCATAATTATTTCTTATGGCTTTATATCTATGAATCTAAAATTTTACATTTATAAGATGTTTCTCTACAACTTAAAAGTAAGAAAATCTCATTTAAGAGTAAATGATTTGTTTTCTCTCTCTTTTTTTTTTATTTTGGAATGTGCCCTTTTGACCCAAGATAAATACAATGAGTTCGCCAGGAAAAAAAAAAAAAAAAAAAGTGTGGGGCTGATGTAGCTGCATCAACATTAGTATTAAGTGGAAGACATGACAGGCGATAATGCCACTGTACTCAGCACTGGCTAAGCCCTCAACTAGAGTACTGTGTGTAGTTATAAGCCCTGCATTTTAAAAAGGGTGTGGGAAAGTTACAGAGGGTCCAAAGGCCGTCAAAGATGTGGTGGAGCCTCCTTTATTGGAGGTTTTCAAGGAGAGGCTGGATAAGCATTGGTTAGGGTCAATTTAGGAGTGACAATGCCTGTAGTGTGCTGGGCAGAGCGTGCACACAGCTTAGAGACCACAAGACAACTCTGCATGCCCAGAACAGGTAGAAGCTGGAGAGGACCATGCTCTGCAATGGGAGAATGAAGCAGAGCTCCACAACCAGCTTGTTTATGTAAGGTGACTTAAAGGAGCTGGGATAAGTTTATGCAGAGGATAAAGTGATAGAAAAGGGAGTCTGACTCTTCACTTAGGGTGTATGATGGTAGAGCTGTGTTCACAGTCCCATGGCTGCAGTATAGTGTGGAAGTTGCCTGGGCATCCCATGCTTCTGGGCTTTGCTGGTGACTATATGAGCCTAGGAAGTTTTTTTCTCCTCCTCTTTCTATAGGTGTTAGTTTATTTTTCACCTTCCTCAGAGGCACTGGCTGTTGACCACAGCCAAGGCTGGGGATTTTGACTGAGGCGTGCTGATGTTCCTGTGGGCACTTAGAAAATCCAGGGCTTCCTGGCTAGAAATTCTTGCTACTCTGCACAGGGTCAAAAACTGCTGCGTTTGGGATCAGGAAGGAATTCTACCCATGGTCAGACTGGCATCATTTGTAAGGGGGTGGCAGCAGGGGAACTGCTTTCCTCTCTAGCAGGTGAATGTGGTCCTCTTCCTTGGATCTCTGGCATGTATTTAATAAACTGCTTCCTGTCCTTGCAATAGCAGGACATTGACAATACCCTCACCTGCAACAATTTTTTTGAGGTTTCAGGGCTTATGAATGGTAGTTGTGCATGAGGGTTGTTCCTAAAGTTTTTAAAGATAAATTAGACAAACATCTGTCTAGGATGTTTTAGATATGGATAATCCTTGACCAGGAGGTTAGACTAGGTGACCTCCAGAGGTCCCTTCCAGCCCTACTTTTGTAAGATTCATTGATCAAAGAGTACAATATTTTAATCTCTATAAAAACATTGCCTAAGCAAGACTTTCCAAAAAATATTTTCATTTTTCCCATAACAGTAAAATTTAAGCTTTAACCCAAAATAAACAGGTGTTGAATGTGATAAAGCAGAATAACATCTCAACTCAATTTACTACATTCATGCTTAAAAGGTCACCAATTACACTAACACATATTACATGTTAGGTATTTACCAGACTCTTCAGGAAAATGGGGCTAAACTATGAACTGTCTGGCAAAGCTAACTAGGCTTCACATATGGCAAGCTTTAGAAAGTAACATTTCATAGCATAAATACCATTATATCAATTATGTGAATTATAAAAAAAAACCCTTCCAATAAATACAAAGGACTGACTAACATATTGTTTTTTCACCTTTGACAAAAGTAAGATGTTTTTGATACTAACTTGGTTTCAAGTTAGCAGAAAATAAAACCAAACAAAAAATTAGCATTTTAACAGATATGAGAATCTTTTGTTATATAAAGGGCTATTCATTTTAAGATTAGCTCTTACCAGTGGGAACTAGACCTCACTGATGAATTTACATCCCTCATTTTGCTTTCATCGTTTGTTAATTGTATCAGAGGAGCTCTTATGAGCTTTGCTCTATTCTTATTTTTTTAATGTTTTTGAAGAGTTACAGACACACAAGTTTCTTAATATTGAAATGACAAACGGAAATGTTTTCCTTTTAGGACAATACCCTTAAAAATGTATTACTGTAATATTTGGCTATAAAATCCAAAGGGAGACATTTTTTATATATATTTATTAACAAGTTGAAACGTAATATTAACATGAAATACAATACAAAAATGTACCTGTTCTGTGGAATAAATATGAAGAGAGTTGTTTTCTACTGCAGCTTTAAGCGAGATCCTTTTTACTGCAGATGTTTTCATGATATAAAGACTGCCTGGCTGTGGTTGAATATTTTGTCTATATTTCTTTCCAATTCTCATTTCTTGCAGATTTCTGGCCTGGTGCAGATTTGTAATCATATTGGTCAAATCTGATAAGGGGCCAGGGCGACAAAAAACCAAAAACCCATTAAATCCCACTGTGATACCATCAAACTGCACAATCAACATACTTCCTCAGCTAGTACACAGATTTTTACAATCTGCCCCAATTTAAATTTCAAAATGTTCTTTAAGAAGCATTGTTTATTGGAAACCATTGGAAATGTTTCGTTCAATAAGTACATTTCAAATAGAATTAAACACAAACTAATTCTGAAGCCTAATTTTGTTTTCACCGATAAATAATGGGACAATGTCTAACTCTAAAGTTTTATACAGTGTCTGTTTATTTGCAACCAACAGAGCTAACTCTGCATACACTTATGCATGTTAAGTTTATGCACATGATTAGTCCTATGGTAGAAAACTAAACTAATTTAAAGTTGTGTAAATTACTTATTATCTGGGATTTTCAGAAGAGGCTAAAAGAAGTAATTTTAACTCCCAATGAAGGTCAAGGAATCCTAACTACCTAATACTTTTATGCCTCTCTGAAATCCCAGAAATGTTTGCATAATTGGGCCTACATTTTAAGAAATATTGGCAATGCAAATAAATGTATCCATTTATAATAAATAAAATGTAACTATTAGTGGCCATTTTATAACGCCTCTATAATACCTTATATTAGACAAAAACAATCAAATATTAAATTAAATCTGAATACCAGAAATGAAAATAGCACAATATATTTTCTAAGCATTGCTGCATGTCTAAAAATGCTCATGTACTTGAATAACTAAAAACATATCCATAAATGAAAATGCTAGCAAAGTAACAGATCAAAATCAATCAGAGGAAAAAAAAACAATATTTCCTAACGTTTCTACATATAGGTTTAAAAATAAAAGCAAGAATCTAACAGTAAGGTGCAAAAACTTCAGGAATGTATTCAGACAACGGGTGCTCACAACAGATAACTGAGCAAAACTTTCCCCTAAAAATACCTGCACCGTTGTTTCCCAAATTTCTGGCTGCTGCATGGTTGGTGCAATCTCTCTCATCTGACTGATAAGCTTCACCTTGACCAGTGTTTTGTTGAACTAAGGCATCTTTTTGTTCCTTATCTACATTCATATTGCTGTTAGTCAATGAGTCCAGTGTTTTGTTGCCAAGCTTTTCATCTGCCAAATCATCCAACTTAGTTTTGAAGGGTGGAACAAAAAATTTGGCAGTTTTGCTTTGTATATCCAGATTTTTTGTTTTTTCACTTTTCTCAGCTGAGGTCTTACTAAGTGGAGTAAAACAACTTGAAATACTGCTTGAAGAAGAATCAGATTTAGATATAGATCCTTTAAAATTTTGATCAGGTAGAGTAAAATGAAGATTCCTGACTTCTTGTCGTACCTTAGTAGCACTGTATGGATAAAAATATTTGAACACAGATAGTTGAGCTTATCAAAAAATTTTAATTTATCAGAAAATTTTATTTTTAATTCTTTAATTTGTGAGTGCTTAGGGACTGCAGGCCCCCCAGCCATATGCCATAGGGGGCTAAATGCAGCACCATGCTCCCCCCACACATGCTTCTCCCATCACATAGCTCTTCCCACCTCATGCTGTGTGGGCCTCCTTAAATCGCATGGTCCACACCCCGCCCACCAATACCATGTGGTAGCACGGCACAGCCCAGCTTTTGCCTACCACCTCTTGGTACACTGCACTGGTGCCAGCACTGCAAAAGATCCCCAGCCATGGGATTTCACAATCCAGCTGGTCATGCTACTGTGCCCTGCCCCCAGGAGTGGTGGTAGGCAATGGAAGGTGGAAGAGGGAGGGGCAGCCTGGGTTGAATTTTTTCAATTCTGTCAACTAGAAATACTTTTTTCTTTTTTTCACAAATAACAACAGATTTAATGCATTTTTTTTATTTCAGGAAAAATTAAATTTGAATTCAAATATATTGTTTCTTTTTGTATTTCTATGGAGTATTGCAGTTATTGTTTCAATAAAAGGCAACAATTTAGATGTTGCCTCTATATTTTGAACTAAAATGGATTAGCTTTTCTTTAGAAAATGTAGGAAATTACTATAGAAAAGTAAAAATAATCAGTCTCTTTTTTTTATCCAAAACAATTGCTTTAGAAATAAGCACTATACAGTACACATCTCTTACCTAAAAGGACTACAGGTCACCGGTTTTAAAGGAACATGGTATATAAACTTTCTTCTGTCTTTGATTGTACCTAAAAGTAAATACATAGAAACACAGTATCACTTGACTATTTACAGAACATATTAAAATGGCATTTTTGTATGAATACAGAAAATGCAGTATCTTTTTCTCAATTTCCATTTTGAAGGTAAATAACTGACTTTGTATTAAGTACTCTTTGATTTTAAAAGACTGTTTAGGTTTCCTTAGCTTGCCACTTAATGAGTAAAAATAGGTTGTAATAAATTGACAAATAAGTACAAAAATGCTATGTAAATCACTTCTGGGTACAGATCTATTTCTCATCAGCTGATTGCCACTAGAAAGATTCTGTGCCTGATAAATAAGCAAAGTACTAGAAGATGCATTGTGCCTATGTGCAGAGAGGAGGAGAGCAAGCAGTGAAATGCAGAAACACCAGAAATTTCAGGTACTAAATTGGTTTGCAGCCTTGTTTTCTTGTTGTTGTTTTCATTTGTTCTGGCATGCTTTTTTCTGCGTACATTCTTGTGGGAGAGATTTTCAAACAGTATATACTACTTCTAAAGGCTCCAGGTACTTATACTTTGAGCACTAAAACCAGGACTGCCCTACCAAAAGACAAAGGGGTATGTAAATTCTACTACTTAAGAATAGTGTCTAAAAAACATGCAAACATGTAGGGCCTAGGAGCAATGCCCTACAAATACTGATGATGAATATATAGTAGAGGCCACTGCAGCTTACACCCTAGTTTGATGAACTTTGATATTGCTAACAGTCAAGGTCTCAAAAACTCTTAACATAGCTGAAATGCAAGATGAAATTCATTTTTTAATTTGTTTGTGTAAACTGTATTACTTCTCGTTCTCTCAGCAAAGGAAATAAGCTGTCTAGGAAATGCTGCGAAGACTTCCTCTAATCCCTTAGTGGATGCACCTCCACTAAGGTTATATCTATAAAGAATTCTACTTTTTTGGTGACATGGTGTAATAGCTCAAAGAGCCTGATTGACTCAAATTCATTTTTTAGGCATGTAAACACCAAACTGAGATCCCATGATGGAGGCAGTTTAGATACAGGTAGAAAGGCCCTTGAGAAATCTTGCTCTGACTGGACAACACACAGTACAAATACTGTGGAACTTTCAGCAGTGGAGTGCTTTTCAAGGGTGCCATGAGGTGCCACACAATGGTGTGCAACTGCACACTGTTAGGTGTGCAACTGCAATTCACAATACAAACCCAAAAATTGTAAATATAAATCAATAGTATTAAAAACATTCTGACTGTCGTGAGTTATTATCTGAGTGAAAAACAAAAACAAAACCAAAGAGCTAGCAACTCCAAGGGCTGCCTCAAGTCAAATGGTTGAGAACCACTAGACTCTGGTGTATCTAGCAACAATAAATGCAGATAACAAAAATCTGACACTGATCATGCCATGATTAAATTCTATTCCGTTTAGAAATGAAAGCTTTCCTTGTAAATTCCCTTCTAAGGAGATTGGATTGGACAAGGCCTTACTAAATTAGATACTACCCACTATAAACTGGAGGGAAAAAATGTTGAGATGACCTGCCCCCCCTCCATTCTGCACAGGAAGGTTTGCCATGAGGTAAGGGTAGGAGGTGGGCTAAAGGACATGCTAAGGTGTGTAGTACAGCCACACTGGAGCTATTAGCGTGAAAATTGTCTTGCTCTGTTTCAACGCTTTAAGGATTCTTGGCAGTAATAGTATTGGGGGGATGGGAAATAAGCTGATCTGACCAAATAATCACAAAACAATCTCCTAATAAGGCACAACTTACCATACCAGCCAGAATAATTCTGAAACACTGCTCTGCTCTGCTCAGCTGCATGCTACAAAATTGTGCTTTCATTCTTCCACCATTCCACAGACATACAATTCTTTGAAGGATGTATAACCAGCATGTCTTGGTTATACTTGCCTACAACAGGTTGTGCTTGCTTACAACATGCACTGACTTGAAATGTATCTTGTGTGAGGGGTTCACAGGTGTAACATGCTGCACACACTGGAAAGCAAAGGCAAGATAATACTGGATGTCAAGCAGTGTTCCCTCTAAGCCAGGGCGGGCAATTATTTCAGGCAGAGGACCGCTTACTGAGTTTTGACAAGCCATCGAGGGCCACATAACAGGCAGCCAGGGGCAGATAAATATTAATTTTCTAAATTTTTAGGAGCCCCGCGGGCCAAATAGAATGACCCAGTGGGCCGCATCTGGCCCACATTTTGCCCGCCCCTGCTCTAAGCTGCGTGATGTGCATGGCAGCGCAGGTCTGCTCATGCTGTGCTGCCAGGTGTGCCTGTGCAGCCGCGCACGCCACACAGCTTAGAGGGAATGTCAACTCAGAGGAATCAGCCCGAAAGCTGTTGCAGATTAAAAACTCTTTTCTGTTTTTAGAGTACAGAACTAAGGTAATACATTTTGTGGTGCAGCTGATGTCAAAGTGATTTTTTCTGTATTTATCATCATAAGCCCTAGAACTCTGAACAGGTTTAGGATTGTATTAATTGATGAATTGGGTCAAAGGAGGTACATTTTATAAGCCAGTCATTTTGGTATAGGGACACTTTTATACATTTGACATGGGTATAAAAGTGCTTGCGATTACCTTTCTAAACATGCTTGATATCGTTGATGGGCTGTACTTGTAGCAACTTGTGACAGTTAGGAAATTGAGAAACCTGTTTCTTGGATGAATGTCTACATGAAAATAAACATTCTTCAGGGTGAGAACTTTGAACCAATTTCTGTGACCTAGTGAAGGGATTATGAATGATAAAAATGACCATTCTGTATCTGATATATCAGATTAGGATGTTGAATTTACTGAGCCTGAGAATGGGTCTCCATCCACTTTTCTTCTTGGGAATCAGGAAGTTTTTAAAATAAAAACCTAGTTTTTCAAGACAGGATATTCAGTCTAGGGGCTTTGTGTCTGTCTTATTGTGAACCTCCCTGATCCTTTTTGGAGTGAAGTGAGGTATATAAATCTAAGTAAGAAAGATCTTTAACTCCCACCTGTAAACGTGAGTTTACTCCTCTGAGAAACCGCTTGTAAAAGTTATCCCTGAAAAGGGACAAGGAAGGTAGATGCAACCTAGGTAGGCTTGGCGAGATTTTTTTTAAAATCAGTAAACACCGATAAATGTTAATTTCACCTCATACTCACAGAGAGATGAAAAATATTTTGATAATAAAAGAAATTGATAGAAAGGGGATGTAAAGAAAAATAATGGCTGATGGAGTGTGTGATGACAGGAGGAACAGTCCCACAAAACTGTGCTGACTGCAGTTTGGACTGCAACTCCTAGAAACCCCAGGGGACTGGGAACAGAAGACAACAAAGTGACAAAGGAGCTACCAGCAGGCGAATGGAGCCAGGAGTTATGGCAGCCTGCTGCTCAGCTGGTGGCAGTCCTTCAGTAGTTAAGTTTGTCATTAATAAACTGTCTGTCCCCCACATGCTAATTTCATGCAATCCTGAACACTTAAGTTGATAAAAACTAAAGTAAACGCTAAAAAACAAACAAAGTTGGAATTATCCATCAAAATTATTAAAAAATAAAAATCGAATTCTGCCAAGCCTAAACATAAAGCACTGAACTATGTCTTATGGAAATAGTTTCCACCACCTTTTTTTGGCTGCAAAAGACTTCTATGTTATAAAAGAATCAGTAAAAGGCACCACCCATACAAGGTAAGGAAATGAAAAGGATGGCCTCTCTACAACACTAATATGCGGCTAAAATCAGTACCTAGATTAAAAGATAACAGGCAGAAGCAAGCCAAGTCAAGATGTAAGTTATGTTAATGTAATATGTTTCAGAGTTCTATCTCCTGCATGTTATACCTGCTCTCACATGATCAATTCAGAGCCTTAAACTGATCCATGGATTCTTTTGAACTTTTCACTGCTTCTAATTTCAAACAGCTTCATCAACATATTACTGGCTTTAAGACTGTCATATGATTTCTTCATGTTAACAGTGTATATTTGTGACATACCAAGTGAACTGCTACACTCCACACCAAAATGTAATCATAGATGCTTTAACAAAGATCAGCTGGTCCAAAATGCAGCAATTTATCCCTTCACTAACATCCACGGCCAAAAACATATCACCCCAGTGCTCTGCTCTTGGTTCAAGGTCCCCCATGGAATTGGCTCAAGTTATCTAACAGAGAACCTGCAGTAGATTCCTGCAGTAAATTCAGCAGTATGTGCACAGCGAGTTCTCTCTGAGCTCACTGCCTGGTGAGTGTGGATTCTGCAAGAACTCTGTGAGACCACCAAACTCTTGAGTTCACAGGCTGGTTTGTGGTGGGGGCTGGTAAGAGCTTTTACCTTTCATGTGGCTCCAGAACCCAGGGGGTGAATGCTGCCGCTGTTCCCCCATTCCATCCCTTCCCTTGCCTCCCTGTTGAATTCAGGTGCTGTGGAAAGGAGAGGATGCCTGGGGGCAGTGCTCACCTCCTGGGGTCCAAAAAACACAGGCTCCAGCCAGACCCCATGGCCTGTGATTTTAAAGTCTCTCAGCAAGTATGTTCCTGAAAGTGTGTTTTAGGTGTCAACGTTGTTAACTCACATTTCCACATTTTTGTAGAAAGTTTTACAGTAAAAATATGCCTATTAACATGGTATCTTAGTAATTTTGGAGTTTGAGAATTTAAAGGTTGGGAAGGCTGGTTGGTGTGGAGAGTAATTTTGCCTTATATAATTATTTCTTTAATAGAAAAAACATTTACAAAATCTTAATTCTACATGAGATTTTGTGCAGAAATTAAGAGCTTTATACAGAATTCTATTTGTGACATTTCATACCACAAATTACTGTATAGGATATAGACTTAAAAATTACCATCAGGAGTGCTTTTTGAAGCATTCAAAGATTTATGGGGATCCTTTGTTCTGTCAAATTCAGGTAATAGCTGCCTTTTAATTGGAGGTTCTTCTGGAACAAAACCATGGGAAGTTACTTATCAAGTACTGGAATTCAAGATGCATTATTCATATGCACATTCTACCACGAATGCAAGCTCAGAAACATTTTACTCCTAGCATTATTAATCAGGCTTCATGCATCTTGCTTCTCTTCGCACTCTGTACAGAGGGCATAAATGGTTGTACATGCTTCCTGCGTCTCGGTTTCTTTTCAGCCACAGAATCCAAGAGTGTTAAGGATTCCAAGAAGAGGGGGAGTATGAACGTGTATTCACAAGCTGCCCCTTGAACTTCCCAAAAGTCTGGTGGCAGCCTATCAACAAAAAATGGCAGGGGTTCATGAATTCTGAAATCAGACCGAGCCAGTCTTACCTTGTTGTTGACTCTGTGAAATTGCAAATTGGTGGAGTAAGATGGCTCCCCTAGCAAGTCCAGTTTATTTGGTCCATTATCTTTCAGGCTGCTACAGAACTTTTTTGCCTTCTGTTAAGCTGCTGCTGTAACTATGGAAGAGGGCATACAGTGCATACAGAAATATGCCGGCACCTGGAAGGACCTGATCTAATCTCTCAACCTATTGTATGATGAATTTTCTAGATAGAGATGGCCTGTGTCTGCCATGTCATTCTGACAAGGTTCACCATTGACTCATTGATGTGGAAGGTAATCTTGTCAGATACAGACTTGCAAAATGCACATGAGCCTGTATGAGGATTCATTAGTCTTATCAACTGAAAACTGCAAAGCTCAAGCTGTTTGGAAGCCCCTGAAAACCTCTCTATCTGGGATGCAATAAAAAAGAATCATTTCACCATCAGAACAGAGAGGATAGCGGACTAGCATTAAGAAACCTCTCCATTTCAGAGACTGAGTCTGGAAATTCTTTCCTTTCAAGGAATTTGACAGCCAAAGTCTGGGCATGAAAGTATAGTACTGAGACAGATTATCATAATCCCAGAAAAAGAAAACCCATTTCTTTGAATGCAGGGCCCACAACTGAAAAAGGCTGCTTTTGAAAGGGTCCCTGCAAGCACTTAATTGGAAACCAGAAAAACCTGAGGCAGCAGTATGGCGGTCACATGGTTCTCTCTAAAGACTGTTAAATTACTCTGTGCTGAAAAAGAAGTGGCACCACATAACATACTGAAACCAGCAGATGGGTATGAAAGAAGACAGTGCTGACATGCTGGCTTTCCAATGGTTTGGTCAACAGGAAGCCAGAGCTTTCATGCTTGCTTTTGTGTTTGACTCACCAAAAAGACATGCCTAAGAACCAGACACTGGTTTTAGAGTTCCCTGGGATCCAAGGCCAAAGGAACAAAGAAAAGGCAAATACCTCTCTAAAGACCTTCAGGGATTTTCCCCTGGAATTTTCTTTGGGCCTACGCTCACTGGAAACACCTCTGGCACCAGTGACAAGCCTATAGCATCCTCTAAAAGGTATTCATGCCTCGGAAAGTTCTGCAACCTGCTAAATTCTGCATTCTAGGGTCTAAACTTGACTGCACAGATTTTTTCAGAAGCTAAACCTGGGGTCTAAGACAAGGTCCTTCTAAGACAGGGGCAGGCAATTATTTTGGGCAGAGGGCCGCTTACTGAGTTTTGGCAAGACATCGAGGGCCGCATGACAGGCAGCCCAGGGCAGATTAGTATTAATTTTCTAAACATTTTAGGGGCCCCGCGGGCCGGATAGAATGGCCTGGCGGGCCGGATCCAGCCCCTGGGCTGCATTTTGCCCATCCCTGTTCTAAGACAAGGAAGTGAACGATTTCCAAACAGTATATTTCCCACGGTGATGAGTAAGGATACTTAATCTACCTGACCATTATTGCAGAAAAAATTGCACCATAGGAAAGTTATATATTGAAATCAAGGGAAGCTATGCTGATGGTCAAGGGAGAAACCTGGTGGAAGTATATAGGACAAATGGAGCTTCTGTAGCCATAGGAGGCTACTTGAAAGGCTAAAGGAGGCTCACATCTTACTGAAAAACAGACCAGAAAATTAGGAAAGAAAACTAATTAAAACCAAATTATGATTCAGAAACAAACAAAACAAAGCATGTTTGTTGTTTGTTTTTAAATAGTTGTAGATCAAGCACAGTCTGGAACAGAATTTAACACTTTGATCTTGAGCAGTCTATTGAGAAGGATGGAAAGCAACCACTGCCCTTTTATGTTTTCAGTACAGAGCACAAAGAAAGAAGGATACACAAGTGTTGTAAGGGTAAAGTGGTACAGTGCCACGGTAAAGTGCCTAACCTCAAATACTTGACAATTATATACATGCACCCAAAATAGTATATACATATGGATAATTAGTCAAAAGGAAAGCACTGTCTTTCAAAAGTGAATTTCCTATTAATTTCAATATCTTACCCAAAGTTGTATAATATAAGTAGCTTCTAAATGCAACATTTAAGCAGTTGTGCCAAAACAAAATTAGCAACTTTACAGATTACAAACACCAATGAAGATGTCCTTTTCAGCTAATAGCTCTGGTTTCCCAGCAGCAGTCTCTGCTCCCATGACCGCTGGGGTGTCTGCTGCCAACAGGCAGCTTTGCTGTTGCCACTACAAGGGCAGTAGCTGTCCCCATTGTAGCAAAGCCCTCTTTACCACTGTGATGGTGGCAGCAGGATGCCCAAACAGATAAGCAGAGTTCACCACAGAGCCTCAGTTCCCAGCAGATTGTAAAGAAGCCAGTCACTCTCCCTCCCTTCCCTCTTTGGGAAACCATTCTTACTGACACCACAAAGAGATTTTCAGATAACAGGATCCAACCTCTAGATTACCTGAAATCAGTTTAAACCAAAAAAAAAGTAAAATGTTCTAAGCCAGAGGTACTCAACCTATGATCTGTGGGCCACGTTGATTTTGCTGGTCAACCCCATGTTCAATCTGGCCCACAAAGTAGCCCCATACAACTCATCTGGCTCATGGGACAGGACTGGTTTTGTACCACCACTCAACCAGTGGTGCTTAAGCTTTTGGCCCTGCAGTCCAGATGAGTGACAAGAGTCCAATCTGCATACTGAATTGAGCCCCATATGCCAGGACTGGGCCCCTGGCAGAGCCCTCTCCTGCCTGGTGCTGCCTCCATTCTGCCCTGCACTCTGGATTGTGCAGGCAATCCAACATGCAGGGCCTAGGCTCCCTACAAGTCCAGGAAACTGTTAGCAGGGAAGCAGGCCAACACTCCACTGCCAAATTCCCAGAACCACTGAGAAGCCCTGTGGGCCAGATAACCGTACTGCAGGCCAGATCTGGCCTGCAAGCCAGGGGTTGAGCACACCTGCTCTAAGCTATTCCATAATGTGAAATTAAATAAAACTTTAAGAGAGTTTAATAAGCCACAGACTTACCAACTGAGATTTGCTCTGCCATGCATCTCTTCCCAATTCTCATATTTAATGGAAAGTTTTTATCCATCTTTCTACAAGCCAAAAGGCACTTTTTGGTACTGTTTTGTAGTTCATAATCAGTGAGGTCACAATCTTCCATTAAAGCCTTGGCACTTTCCACCACTTCTGTTTCCAAATAATTTTCTGGAACCTGGGAGCATGCAAGATAAACACCCCACTTTGGTTTAGTAGGAGTACTGCACAAAACTGCTTTACTATTTTTTCCCATCCTTTGCTGCTCATTTTTTGAAAAGCAGGACTCCTTTAGCATAAAGGCATTTTTTAATAGTGTTAAGTGCTTGTCCTCCTCACTGTGGGATGGCCCCAAAGGTTTACTGCAAATGTTTTCTAAAGGCTTTGTTTCATCAGGAGAGATTCCTGGTAAGTCTGTTTCTTTATTGTGAGTTTCTTGAATTCTTGAATTCTTGATTTCAACTCCTGCTTTAGCCATACCAACATAATTAATTGAAGTTTTAATAGCTGAACCAGAATCTTGCATTGAATTAACCTGATCTGCATAGCAACACTTGCTGCTGGCAATATTATCAAAATCTTTTAGGATTCCTGTAACTTTATGAAGAGCGTTTTCAGAGACTAGCACCTTCTTTCCACTTGCTGTGCTGAATCCAAATGGAGGACTCAGAATGAGCTCAGGATTTGGAGGGTTTTTTTCTTGTGATTTTACTAACTCTATGTTCACAAGTACTGAAGCACTTGCAGTTCCACCCTTCCCTATTTTTTCCCCAACTGAAGATACTTTATAGCCACATTTCATATCCAAAATGCTTTGTTGCTCATCTAATGAATTATTTTCCATTTCAAAAAAAAGCTGTCTAGCTTTCTTTAACGAATCTTCTGATAACTGTACATGTTTACCACTTGCTGTGCTAAAAAAACCTAGATTACCTGCAGGAAAATCTCCAGGATGATTTAGCTTATTAGATTTATGTATTCCAGAAAATTTATTTTTCATTTGAAAGGACAGTGACTGAGGACTTGTCTCAGATCCAAGATCTGCAGATGTATTTCTCTTCTGGTATAGTGTTCGTTTATCCTTATGGTTGTTCTTAGTTGCATTAGGAAAATGGCTTGTAGATACATTATCTGTCTCAGTCTTCTTTACATTTACTGAATTATTAAAAGTGGGGCAGTTGGTGTTTTCAAAGGTCTTCAAGCAATCTGTTGTAACAACCTGATTAATTTCCAATTTAGTCTTAATATTCTGTTTTGCAGGGTTATCAGGATTTTCTGGAAACAGCTGTCTGACTCTCTTCAGTGCATCCTCAGAAACAGTGACTGTTTTACCTTTTGCTGTACTGAAAACAAATGGTCCATCCTTCAGTGGCTTAGAAACAGAACCTTCTACTTTTGTTGCTGAAATTTTCAGAGTATTTTCAGCATCTAGAAGTTTCAAATCATTTTTTCGATTTATACAACTTGTATTAGGAAATATATCTTTGAAATTAATAACGTTGTTTTTGTCTGAAGAAAGACTTGTCAGTGGTTGTTCTTGACAAATATTAGGTATATTTTCTGAGAAGCAGTTTATAATATGGCATGTATCATTTGAATTTTGATTGTCAGACCCCTTCGTATGGCATTTAACAAAAGAGTTACCATCTGAAAAGTTGCCCAAACTTATATAAAAGCAATCATGGCATTTATTTTTATCATCCTTAACTGTTAAAATATTTTGTGCATTTTCATGTATAGGATTTTCTCCAGGAGCGTGGGAAACTTGCGTTACGTGCATATCTGTAGTCTTGTCAGTACTAGAAATAAGCAATGTATGTTTTGAGGCATCACTTTTTCTTGATGAGTTTTGCAGTTCTCTCTCTCCAAAAGACTCTGTCTCAAACAAAGAAACTTTACTTATAGCATTTTTTCCACTTTCAGTATAAAATTCTGAATCTAAATTTCCAAAGTCCACAGCAATAGGTCTTTTTGAATAAAAAGCTTCTGCATATTTTTCAGGTTCACTGGCCAAGTTAGCTAACACACTGCTCTCTAATGAAAGATTTTCCCTAACTCTTTTTTCAATTGAACTACTTTGTACTACCAGTTTAAATGCATCTTTTCCAGGTTTTTTAGAAACAAGGTTATCTGTAAGATCAAGCTTTTCCTCAATACATTTAGCAGTGTTTTCCATAAACAATTCACAATCTCCTACAAATGCTTTTTTGTTACCTTTCTTTTCATTTAAAGAGAGAATCTCAGGGTCCTCAAAACTGCCATTGTGTTCATTCTCAAAGAACATATTTTCTTCTGCAAAAAACTGTTTTACTTTAGCCAAAGATTCATCAGCAGTTGTAATTTTCTTGCCACTTGCAGTACGGAAACCAGTAACGTTGTTCTGTATTGTATCTTTGATTTTAAAGTCTTTGTCTTGTTGGATGTTAATCTGATAATGGTCAAGGAACATTTTGGTTTTGTCTTGGTTCATGTTAGTACTTTTTTGGACAGAAATTGTATCTGTGCCTTTTTTGCTAATACTATATGTCATTTGCCTATTGAGGTTTGATAAAACATTATCCAATTCTTTTTCTGCATATGTTTCAGGAAGCAAATGTGGCGCTTCATCCAACAGCGCCTCAGAAACTGATATATTAGCTATAGTTTGAAAATGTTGTGATAAACATTTATGACCTGGACTTATTTTTTGTTCTTTTGTATTATGATCCAGCTGTTCGATTTCATCCAAAATATTTAAAGTAAACATCTCTTCAGTTTTAGCTGCTTCTCCGAAACATGTTAGATCTGACAAACCTTCTTGTGAATTGGATTTAACCTGAATGTCACCCTGGTTTGGTAGCTGTTGTAAGATGTTCAGACTCTGAGCATGGCTTTCACTAGGTGGTAGACTATTTCCCATTTCACGAACAGAATATTGTGCGTTATCTTTTAGGTTATTAATTTCAGTACTCCCAATAATACGGATATTTTCACCATCATTTTTTGGTTTATTTTCCATGTGTTTTTGATTATTTTGAGATGTATGCTCAGAATCCACCTCTGTATCTTTTAAACTTGTTACACAGTAGTTGCCCTCTTCTGTCAGGCATCTAGAAACATTCCAATTAGAAGACATGCATCTATTTGAACATCTACTTTTTGTATTTATTTCAGTGAATTTCAGCATTTTGCCATCATCATCCAGGTCACTGAACAACTTCGTAGCTCTTGTCAAAGCCTTGTTAGAAATATGTATTTTTTTGCCTCCAGCTGAACAAAAGCTTTCCAAATTAGAACATTTTTCTTGCATAGGCACTGAGAAAATCGGTATACAATGCATCCTATTTTCATTTGCATGTAAATTAGAAACAACCTCTTCACAGTTATATTTCTGGAGATTAAAACTGTCTTCTTTTTTATTGCCCACCATGTTAGACTCTGTGTCTGCACACTTACTCAAAAAATTGTCACTTATTTTAACTTTAGTTTCAAAATCATCAACAGAATCAGAATTTTTCCACACGCCAGAAATATTCTTTGAGTTAATCATTTCACTAGTATCTACACTTACAGATAATTCAGAGGCATTATTCTGTGGTACACTGTTTCGAAACTGTGTAAATTCAAACTGGCTACCTGTTTCTTCCAGTATGTTAGAAAGTTCAGTGATTTCAGCTTCTTGGCTTGCTGTCAAAGTTTGGTTTTGTTCAGGAAACTGTTGCTGATTTTTAGGCAAGTTTTGAAAAGATGAATGAATGCTTTTAAATAAAAGAGAATGTGGATTATTAAATTCAAACAAACCTGCTTGTGAATCAAAACTAGGGGAAGAATTAGTGTCCAATTTATTTTCCAAAACTGAAGAAATCTTATTTCTGCTTGTAACTTTATTTGAAATGTTTTTTATTCCATCTGTGGACAAGTCTTTAAGACACTCATCCTCAATATCTCTGAACAGCATTTTGCCTCTTGTTATGCTATTTTCAGAGAGTTTGATCTGCTTATTGGAAGCAGTTTGGAAGCCATCAAACCTCCGTTTTAAACTGTGTACACTAAAACTTGCATGCCCTAGCCATTTCTCTTTGTTGTTTTCAGAATTTTCTTCGGCCTTCCTGTTGAAACATAAAGATGTTATTGAATTTAAATTGTTATCTGATGCAGTACATTTTAAAGGAAATTCAAGTGCCTTCATTATATGATGTTTATCTTCTGCATTAGGCTCTGGTCCTTTCTTTGATAGAAGCACAAGTCTTGCTTTTTGAGCCTTAGTTGAAACAGACTCTTGTGCACTAAAAGCTGGTACATCTTGTAGTAGTGGCAACATAGATTTCTCAGAAATTACCTCTCGTAAAGAACTAAGATCTTTGCAATCTAACACTTTATTGCCACTTTCTACACCTACTATGTTTTTGTTGGCAGCTGTCTGAAACTTATTTTCATCATTTTCAGCAGACTCGGTTTTTTGATTATCAGCTGTAACTTTTAAAAATGAAATTCCATCTGTTTTGTTCCCTCCCTTTAGCATAGTGCTAGAATTTGTACATGACTGTATTTCAAAGGGTGAATTAATTATTCCTTTACATTCATGTACTGGCAACTTGTCAGTAGCATCATTTTCTTTTGTTGATATATTTCTATTGCAACATATACTATTGCTGTTATTTATGTCAAGGTTGATTTCACTCAAGCTATTGCTGCAGTTACAGTTTGTCATAGAAACTGGTTCTAACTCAAATTCAATCAAGTGTTCATTATCACTAGAAGTCTGTCTACATTGTGGTCCCTGTTGAGGTGCAACAGTAACATTCAGATTAATATTGGTATTTCTATCTTCCACATCTCTTATTGGGGACTGAACAACATGTATAGTCCTACCAAAGTCCATTTTGGAATATTTAGTTGTGAAGAGGCATGCTGTGACTAAAACTTTATGCTTTATACTTGAAACAGCATTAGTATTTGAAGCATCCACTAAATATTCTCTCCAAGTACTGGCCATGTCTGATGTAACAGGTTGATGCTCCTCTCTATTATTTTTTACTACATCCTTCAACTCATGATGCACCAGTCCATTATTGAAAGAACTAGTAGAGGAGTTATTTGCAACATCTGTTTTGGTGGCATACTTGCTTGACACAGAATTTTTCTCAGTATCTGACAGTAAACATTTTCCCTCAGCAGACTCAGAAGCTGCCCTCAGAAGCTCTATAAAAAAAATAGGAAATATTGTAAATTAACCCGACATGTCAATAAACAGAAGTAACAAAGCAATTCTCACTTTTTCAAAGTGGCAGTTAAACAAATAAGTCCTTTCACAAAATTTTGGCTCTAAAGCTGTTAATACTTAAGTACCTACTTATCTTTACTACCGTGAATGGCTTATTTAAAAGTGTAAATGTTCACAGGACTGTGGCCTTACATGACTCAATTATGGTCTGATAACTGACCAGTGAATCTGATATGATCTGAATAACAAATCAATTGTTTTTATTAAATTGAATTAGGGGAGGTGGTGTTCATCTTTTGATGTCTGAACATTCACATTCAGTAGTACATACTTCACACAAGAAAGGATCCTTGATTTTTTATTCTGATGTAATAATTCTTGTAAAATTCATAGATTCATAGATGCTAGGGTCGGAAGGGACCTCAACAGATCATCAAGTCTAACCCCCTGCATAGGCAGGAAAGAGAGCTGGGTCTAGATGACCCCAGCTAGATGCATATCCAACCTCCTCTTGAAGACCCCCA